TATTTTAACAAACGGATAATCCTTCATCTGCGAGTTAATTTCCGTCGTCGCAATCGATGCCCGCGTTTATATTTTACGAGCTTCTTTTGTCACGTATGCATATGTGGAAATATCATGAGAGCTGAAATATTCCATGCGCTGCTTGACCTATTTCACGATCAGCGCGCGAAATGCAGCACGTGTGTGCGCGGGGGAAAAATACACAAACGCGCGGGGAATTTACAGAGGATCTCGGAATTTATTAATAATGAGCCGTATGCATCGCGAACAGCGCGTTACGTGAAATTTTCGCGGACGGTGAGAGGACGGTGAGATATGAGATATATTCCTCGCTGATACGCACTCTGCTGCAGGAAAATCCCTATCCTCTCCCTCCCTTGGCCGTATTTTACCTCCATCGACGATATAAGCGAGCACGTTTCCGAAAGAGCAAATAAGAACCGTGCGATCTGAGCGAAGAAATGTACGTCGCGCGAGCTTCGATTCAAGACCCGTGTAATTATCTAGAAAGCATCGCGTTCGGGGATGAAGGAATGATTTTATGCTCGAAGGGGGATGATACGTTTTTCCCTCTCCTCGCGACGAGTCGTCGATTCTCGCGTTCCCTCGAGTCCCGACGATCGTATATCGCGACGAGCCCCGCCGAGAGAAAAACACGTCGCACGCGCTTTAATCGAGCTCCTTGTTGACAAATTAGCCGGTGTAACGGTATTTACGATTACATCGGGCGGGGGCAGCAAGCTCGCCGACAATGAGCGCAACCCGTGTGTGGGCGTTACCCGTTAACGTATGGCACGGGCAGATTAATCGACGTGTGTGTGCGAAGCGCGTGAACTCGCGATAGAGATCGCGGCTTCGTGGCTTAACCTAATTTTTGCCCGGACACATTCCGCGATTAATCAAGGCAAATGGACGTGGACGGCGGAGCTCGCGGGTGGCGGCGCGACTCGTGGCGCGGAGGGATGTATGAATGCTCGGCAAAGAGCCGAGGTCGCGAGTTTCGGTCTCCGCGCGGCGAACAACGCGTCGGCACGAAGCATCCTCGCTAGAATGCAAATGATCAATTAACCAGCCGTAAATCACCGCGGCATGCTAAGGTGGGGCTTTATCTAGGCCCGCTGTCGGTACTTGGCCGCGGTCTAATGGTCGCGCAGCCGGTTTCGCGGTCTCTCATCCTATTTTCATTCGCTCCTTCGCGCGATCCCGGTATATAAAATACTTTCTCCCCCCTTCCCCCCCCCCCCGCCCATTGCCCACTGAGCCACCGCTCCTAAATAGGTAACAAGACCACGACAAGGGAGGCTTTCGTTCTGCGACAAATGGAAACTTCACTTGACCCCGAAGTGCTGGTTCTACTCTTCCGAAGCGCACCCGACGCCCCCGATCTGAATCTTAATCTTCGTCCTTCCGCTCAAATACGATGAAAACAGTCGGCCGATATTTTACAACATAATTATAAGCTCTTCGATATTGGAACGTGACAATTGTCAGTTTCCGATATCAATTTTGACATGTATTATACCTCTGAGAGTGCCATAGTGGGAAAATAAATGTTGAAAATTGACATTAACGCTAATGAATCCTGTATACCTTGATACTATTAATAATTATTACGGATTTCGTGCCCTTTCGCGTATAGTCGGCTGCGCCGACTCTTCCTCTCAGTGACAGCCCATCCTGTCTTATTGCGTCATTTCTATTTTTATAATATTATCAAATGTGAAGTATGTCTCTTTCTCTCTCTCTCTCTCTCTCTCTCTCTCTCTCTCTCTCTCTCTCTCTCTCTTTCTCCTTCTCTCTCGTACAACGCGTTACTGCCTCGTCGTTTTTCCCTCTCTGCCGTCCCTCGTCGGGAATATTTATTATCCAGGCCACGTTCGCCGCGGAGAGGGTAAACCTTTCGAAAGTTGAAGGCATGCCCATGGGGCGCGCACGAAGGTATTAAGTGCCCTCCGACAAATTCCCGGTCACGCGGCCGCCTTTTCGCAATTAACATTCGGAACGGAAGAGGTATTCTGGATTAGTAATTGGGACTTTTCGTTCGGGGCTAATATATCGCTGTGAGACACACGCGCACACACACAATGCCAAGTTAGCACACTGTTTGACGAGCGAGTTGATTTCCGTGTAAATTACTCCGGCTATACGATATTCCGAAGCTTCCGCAGCCTTCCACGAGATTCGGGGGTGGAATGCAAATTTTTTACGCGAGGTAAAACCGCCTCGCGATGAAAATGATGAGGGAATGGCGTCGTTGGGCGGAAGTCTTTCGTCTTCTGATCTAATCGCGCCCCGTCTTCTTCGTCGCGAGAGAGGTCCGCGCGAGAGGCCATATCCATCTGGAAAATGCAATTTCGCTGTGCCTCATCTAAAATAAATGGCCTGCGGATTCGATTCGCGGGATGGGGATACCCGAATCTCAGGGTGCTGGCAGTGTCAGTGCAAAATGCACGCGAGATACGTGGTCGCGTCGCGCATATAGCGCGCGCGGTATTCGAGTTATCCTCAATACCACGTGGAAGATAGCCGCAGAATCTCGCGGGAATTTAATTTGAGTCGCGCTGGATGGATGCTGGCATCGCGCTTAAGCGCAGGCAAGTAGACAGACAGGTGGGCGGGCGGGCGGGCGGGCGACCGTTCCGTTCCAGCCGGTGTGATAAATGCACATACATATTTACACCCGGGTTATCAAATGCGAGTCCCGCGTTTCCCTAGAGTTCCTCCGGGGCCGGCCTCGGCTTTCCGATAGTCGGCGAAAGATCGCGTCGCATTCGTCGTTAAAAAAAGGCGCACGAAGTTATCTTAAAATACGACCATCGAGACTCCGGGTCGGCTCTTATATTTCGGAATTGATGTTAGAAGCGAGCCCGAGATAATTATAAGATATTGTGCCACATAAAATATCGCGTCCCAGATACAACTCATACGATTCGACGCGCGAGACCGAGATCACGGCCAAGAAATTTAATAGACGTAGAGGAAGAGATATCCCAAATGGCAGGGCGATGGAGGAGAGAGGGGGCGGAGGTGGCGGTGTTTCTGACAAAAACTAATGACGTACGATAGTAACCTTCGTGAGAAGGAGAAAGGGAGAGAGAGAGAGGGAGAGAGAGAGAGAGAGAGAGAGAGAGAGAGAGAGAGAGAGAGAGAGAGAGAGAGAGAGAGAGAGAGAGAGAGCAAGAGCGCACGCGCGATATTCCGGTTGATATGCATATTTAGTACCATTCCATAATTTTCTCGTAGAAGTGCGCGGGGCACTCTGCCAAATCAGCGAAATTGAATCGGAAGAGAATTTTTAGGCGAGGCGCTTTATTACGTTATTATATTTAGGTTCGTCGACAAGGTGACGTATACTCTTCGCGGACATTTTACATATATATATTTTCGATGGCGACGAGGCGAGAATGGCGCGGAGGGTGAATCCGGCTTGATTAAAATATCGCGGGAATTGCACGCGTTTATTACACGCCCCCGTTCTCTCTCTCTCTCTCTCTCTCTCTCTCTCTTTTCCCTCTCTTTCGCGCCGATAATAACAATGTTGGACAAACGGCCGCGGCGGTAACACCATGGCACACGACATTCCCCGAGTGTCGCTTTTAATTTGATTTAATTGCGCTCATACGACAGCCTCATTCCCAGCAATTACAGGACGCGCGTCCAGTGAGAGCGATGGCGATCGTTGCGACAGCGAGTGGCGAGGTCCGAGCAGAAGAGTGAGCTGTAAACTGCAGCGACGCGATTTACAGTCCACCCGTTATCGGGCTAATTACTGTTTTACATGGCGAAAATAACTGCCACGCGCCCGCGTTCGCGGCCGCTCTTACTCGTTCGCGTTTCTCCGACTCGGAAATTCCGTCGATCGTCCCGAGCGGCTAATCGTCGGCTAATCGTCGGCCATCCGTCGTCGTCGTCGTCACAGCTCATTACCCTCAGGATCCCTTCAGATCGAGGAACGAAACGGATCGACCACGTGCGTCGTTCGACTTTTATCATTGCACGTCAGGTCGCGTGTCGCGGCTCTCTCGGCCGGCTGTTCGTCGCCTCACGGGTGCTGAATTTTTTTCCCGCTCGCGCTCGCCCGCGCACGGAGGCTGCTTTCTTCTTTTATGTCCTCCGAAGTAGCCTGAGTTGCCGATAAGCATCGCATGTCGTATACGACGAATATTTATAGAAGCGAATTTTGCATTTTTATTCTGATTATGCGCATCGTGCGGGCCGGTTAAGTGCCGATTGTTGCGTGTCACGTTAGCACGTACGTTCGAATAAGGGGAATGAGGGCCGGTGGAGAAGGGGCAGGGTCTTTCGCGGACGGAGTATCGTGATATGCGACATCGAAAGTCCTCGCGGTAATTGCATTTTTTTAACATAAAGAACCGCCGCCGCGCTGCCCCCGCTGCTAATGCCGCGGCGCTAATGGCGTTGCGCCGTCCGCTTAAAATTGCGCCGCACGCGCGGGAGCGGTTCCTCACGCGGTGAAAATCAATAATGAGCCGTAATAAGCGACGGCTGTTGTTATTAGCGGCGCCTAAGTGCGAGAGCGCATGCAGGCGAACGTGCGCGCGGCTCTTTCGCGTGTACCTATCTCCGCGCGTACGACTGAGGGGTATCTCTGACGATCCGAAGACAGTCCCTCCATTTTTCATACGCCGACGCGTATATGCCTTTGCTGAATTATTCATTATGTTAAGTGTACCCGCTTGATCTCCCGGCCGGAAGGTCGGGGAAACCTCTCCAGGACGGAGAGAGACTTCGCCCGAGATCTCCAGCGTAAGGATGATTAATCGATTCGCTCTCACGACCCGTTGATTGCGACGCGCTCGTACGCGCACTGAATTAATAAGCACACGGAATCGCGCTCTTTATGAAACCACTTCGCCTACCTCTGAGACACATTTACCAAAGGATACGTCGCCGGAGAGCTCAATCTCTCTCTCTCTTTCTCTCTCTCTCTTCTTCATCGAACGATCGATTCACCCTCATCTCTCTTTGCTTATCCGCAGGAAATCGCCGCGATCCTGATCAGTTTTCAGAGGCACGCCGAATGGCAAAGTCGGGAGGTAAAAGTGCGACCACGAAGTGGTTCGATGTTACTGTACTCGAGGAAGAAGGTACGCTACCGGCGGGACGGTTACTGCTGGAAGAAGAGAAAAGATGGAAAAACTACACGGGAGGATCACATGAAACTGAAGGTAACTACTCTTCGATGGCGAGCGTCTGATGTCGAGGGGTCGCTGAGATAATGATCAACTTGCTCACGAAGAAACATTAAAATTCTGTCCTCGAGTCGAGGATCTTCGTCGCCTACGCTCATCGTGTTGATGCGGACAGTTAAACTGTCTCGAGCGATAGAGAGTGTAATATGACAATCTAATAATAATCTATTGTGATAGAACAGCTAATTATTCGATGTTTAATACCGACATTTAATACCTGGCTGCGATCCTGGCAGGTCCAGGGAGTCGAGTGCATCTATGGCTGTTACGTGCACTCGGCGATCCTGCCGACGTTTCATCGTCGGTGTTACTGGCTACTGCAGAACCCGGACGTTGTCCTCGTCCACTATCTGAACGTTCCTTACCCGGACGGCGATGCGAAGCTGGCCGCCCTGCCGCCCTGTCTCGCACTGCCGCCAGACAAGAAGGAGTGGACGCGGGACGAGCTGGCGTCGCAATTAAGGCCCATGTTCCTCGGCGGGGATGACGACCCGAACAATCCTCATCTCACGCAGCATTCGAGCCATCCCGTCGACATGATAGTCTCTCAATTGCTCGACAGGCAGAGGGCATCCTCCACCTCCTCCACCAGCAACACTCAGCTCGCACCTAGGAGACTCACGCCCGACAATCAGGTTCAAAGCGTAGTTCGTACCAAAATGTCGTCATTTATACGCAATAATTCGGACCTCGTGAATTTGCCTGCCGCGGAGCCGTCTTCCCGCACGTCGGCGACGCGACCTTTCGCGACCTCGTCGTTTGGAAATCGATCGTGAAGACAAATCCCGGGGGAAGCTGAATATTTCATTGACTTTTCTCCGTGATCAAATGCCGTTAGATTCTGCGATTAGCTAGCACACGATTGTACTCTTTAGTCTTTAGTTTCTCAACGAGGTCTTTAGAAGTATATCTTGTATTGCGTATAAATAATAATGGAGATCGCCTAACGTACATTTTATCGTTCGTACGTGAGATAAAATGTATACTGATGGATCTATCTATACGCATTTTTATGTACCTTCATTCATTTTGATTTGCTTGCTGAAATTCGAAATTCCGCGACTGCGAAATAACGCGTCCTCGGAGCCAATGAAATGCCACGCGATGCTCGACGAACGTCTGCCGGGTGTTAATATGCACTTACCTCTTCTCAAACAGGTCTCTTCGACAACGGGAGGTCAGCAATCATCGACGACAGTCGCTCCCGCACCCCGCGTGTACTCAAGACATTCCCATTCTACTCAGAGTCAACAGCCGGCTCCTCTAGTTTTAAGTTTGCAACAAATCCAAGGCGGAGGCGGTCTTCTGATACTTAACAGTCAACCATATCATCACCAGCAGCAGCAACAGCAGCAGCAACAGCAGCAGCAGCAGCAGCAGCAGCAACAACAACCGCAACAGCAGCAGCAGCAGCCGCAACAACAACCGCAGCAACAGCAACAGCCGCAACAGCAGCCGCAGTCGCAGCAACATCAGCAGCAGCAACAACAACAGCAGCAGCAGCAGCAGCAGCAGCAACAGCAGAGTCAGCAGGTGGAGATGCAACAGGTAGCGGAGCAGCAGATCGTGCCGCAGACGAGCGTCGACAGGGAGCAGCAGACGCAGCAGGAGATCGACGCGCAGGAGAACATGGAGAGATCGGGCGTGCAGCCTCTGCCGATCGGCGGCTCTAGCTCCGAGGTGACCGATTTCGCGGAGACGCTGGACCTCAGCCAGGAGGACATCCAGAGGACGCTCTCGGCCAACATGGTGCCGCCGTCGCCGTCGCCCTCGCCGGCGGACAACAGCATGATCAATCCGATGGACTTCATCGACTCGTCGGACGACGTGCTGGTCAACCTGGATGCGTTCGACGTGTTCGGCGACTTGCCGGAGCTGCACGACTTCGAGGCCGATCAGACGAAGCACGAGGAGCGGGGTGGTCCCGAGAACGACGTCGGATGTCATCCTGGTACAACCGTCCATATTGCAGAGTATAGTCCCGAATGGAGTTACACCGAAGGCGGTGTGAAGGTACGTAGGTGCACCTGAAATTAGTACCACTATTAGTTAATTAATTAAAATTAATAGCGTAGCAATTGCATGGCTATTTTGATCACTTTGGTAAATTCGTAACATCTTCACCACTCTGATTCAATCGGAACTTGACTGAATGCTTTCAGCATCTAATCGATTTTAATAATTTAATCAACTTTTGCGCTTAATGACAAATTTATCAAAGTGGTAAGTAATGAAGCAACTGAATCGTCGGACATGGTTGATAACGCTCGCAGCATCCGTGAGGATTATAGTCGCTTACGATTCCGGTTCCGTGACGGTTCCAGGTATTAGTCGCCGGCCCGTGGACCGGTGGTAGTGGTTCCCAATCGTATTCGGTACTTTTCGACGCGGAACCTGTCGAAGCGTGCCTCGTGCAACCGGGTGTGTTGCGTTGTCGGTGTCCTGCGCACGCACCGGGGATAGCGTCCCTCCAGGTGGCTTGCGACGGTTTCGTCGTGTCCGACAGCGTTGCCTTCGAATATCGTCGAGCGCCGACGAGCGAACCCAGCCCTGAGAAGGCCTTGTTGGACCGTCTGGCGGACGTGGAGGCGCGTCTGCAAGGCCCAGGTCCGCCGTCTCCCGCGGCTCATCTGGAAGAGCGACTGGTTGCTTATTGCCAGGTACGGATCGGCCCGCTCTGAGGCCCGATCTTGAAGACCGGCAGGCGGGATACGCGCTATGCGAGAGTACTTGACGACTGATCGAACTTCTCGCGCCCGACGAACGTTTCAGGATGCTGTTGTCCGTCCGTGGCGAGCTGGAGCGGAACCTCTTCAATCCGGCGGGCCTACCCTCCTGCACCTGGCAGCCGGATTGGGATACTCCAGGTTAGCCTGCGCACTCCTTCACTGGAGAGCGGAAAATCCTAGTAGCGTTTTGGATGCCGAGGTCGATGCTCTTAGGCAAGATAGCGCTGGCCTCACGCCGCTCGCTTGGGCTTGCGCGGCGGGACACGCCGACACCGCCAGGATTCTTTACAGGTCAGCCTTCGGGGAGTCCATGAGTCCTCTCGATCTATCTTAAGCGATTGCCTCGTGTGTCGCGGTGTCAGTCCAATCAATACTTCTAACCGCGGCTCGTTGTCCCGCCGTTGACCTTCACAGGTGGAACGCGATGGCGCTTCGCGTGAGGGACTGTCAGAACAGAACGGCGACCGAGTTGGCCGCGGAGAACGGCCACACGGCGATCGCCGAGGAACTCAATCAGCTCGAAGCCCGCAGGCAAGACGAGAGGCTTTTCTTGCGACCCGCCAGCCCTAGTCCTAGGAGGCCTTCTCAAGACAGCGGTCTCGATCTGGCGTTGTGTTAGTCTCGTTTGCTATTATATATTGACCTCTTTTCCGTATATATTCGCACACACACACACACACACACACACGTGCACAGAAATGCACACAACGTACACATTCACAATTACGTACATTCACAATTTATACACGACTATTTATTATAGTCACTATTTAGTCACACGCGTCACTTTGTCGTTGACTCCCCTTTCATGCCGATGATTCCCCCCAGCGCCACACACATTACTCTCCCCCGGCACATGTGCGTCTAAAACGAGCGTAGAGTCACAAAGAAAGGCCGCAAGTCACGCGAGAGCGACAAACGCATCGGGCAATAGCATTTAAGTGGGGTTTATCGAAAAACACAGGTGGCTCGCCGCTGCTGGACAACATGGAGTTGTTGCAAGAGGATGAGTCGTCGTTAGGCCTCAACGAACAGGGAATGGAGAGCGCTCCGACCCCTCAGGAGACCGTAGGTCCGTACCTTCCTCGTTTCCTCTTCTATTTATCTGTCTGTCTGCCTGACTGTCTGTGAAACTATCCGTGTAAATCTGTCTGTTCTGTCTGCGACACACTACCGACCGATCCGATATCGGCCTAGACGATAACCACGTGATCACGTGAACTGCGAATTCGCGTAGAGCTCCTAGATGAAGCTGCGTTCCTCTCGTTCGCAGACCCACACGAATACACACGCGCACACTGATACACACCTTTTGCACACAAAAACACACACATATACATACTATACACGCAATACAATAATGTTCTCTCTCTCTCTCTCTCTCCCTCTCCCCCCCCCCCCTCTCTCTCTCTCTCTCTCTCTCTCTCTCTCTCTCTGTCTGTCTCTCTTCCTCTATCTCTCTTTCTGTCTCTTTCTATGTGCGTACACGAAGACCAGACTCGGTCGACCGCTCCACTGCCTTCTCTTTAACTTCTCTGAACTCTCGCAGCTTGAACAATATTGGTGTTGCTTGGCCTTCGTAATCGCGCTGGTGTTGGATGACTTGCTGTGTAAAATCTAAACTTTCTTAGCCACTCACCATCGACTCACTATCGTGGGCTGTCGCAGCGTTCCCGACAACGGCAACAATCTCCTTCATCTCTCTAATTCTCTATTCTCTCTCTCTCTCTCTCTCTCTCTCTCTCTCTTTCTGTGTGTGTGTGGTTGATTTTTTTAAACGGCTGCTATAGCGCGACTCGCGGTCCAAGCGAACTGTCGATGTGTCGCCTGAATAGAGCAGTTTGCATTCTCGGCCAATCCATCGCGGCTGCCAAGGTTCACACCGTGACAAGACGATCTTCGCCAGCGAGTAGTAGGGTGACAACGCGCGCATTCATCATCGACTTTACCTTTATAGTCCGAGTGTTGTCAATTCGCGACTTGTAGGCGATCTCGGGGTAAACTGCGGCGTGCTGGTGGACGAGCGCGCGCTCGAGTCGAAGCTACTTTACTTTCTGACACCGAGCCATCCTCGACTGCCTCGTAGAGTACACAGTATTTCACGGCTTTTATGAACCTCGGTGTTGTGATCTCAATGTGTGACTTCGGCGGACCCGCCCCCATGAGCCTTTCGACTCTCACTAGGAGGGTGATTCTTTTTTTGTAGGGGAGGAAGACGCGAGGGTGCTGACGCTGGCGGAACAGATCATAGCGGCGCTACCGGAGAGAATCAAGAGGGCGGAGGGTGACTCCCCGTCTTCCACATCGCCACCGCCTCCAACGGCGCCTCTGTCACCCTTGGAGGACGCTCTGATGGAACAAATGGTGAGTGTAAGCATCGTGCATAATGTCGACCGCGCAGGGTCGGCAGATGCCGATTAATCGCGCGAACGTGGAAACTTCGTCGCGCATAATACAGTCCTCGTAGCACGCCACGAGGTCTCGAGGAATTGTTGGGGACCCGTTTCAGATCCAGATTCCAGAATAGCCGAATAATTAGGAGCAAAACTTCCAACACGCCGCGTGTCTATCTCTTCCTCCTCTTTCTCCTCCTCTTCGACGAGACGAGAACGCCGAAGTTTCCAAGTCTCCCGCTCACGAAAACTCAATTTACATACTAATCGACCTGCTTATAGCCCCTCGACTCTGGAGAATTGTTCGACTCGTACCGCGACTGCAGCGGGGGAGCGGCGTCGGTTTCGGACGCCGACGCCGAAGCCAGTCCCTCGAGCCCGTCGAGTAGTTGCCTGACCCCGGACTCGCCGTCCCCGCCGCCCACTACCGCCGACTTTTGCGAGTTCCTGCAGCTGCAGCTGCAGCTGGACGGCGGCAACGGCCACAACGGCCAGTACTACCCGGCGAACGGCTGCGGCGAGCGCAAGCTCAACGGCATGATCGGCAGCGGCATTTCGGGCGCGATCACGGCGGCCGGCGCCGGCAACGGCGACGGCAACGAGGCGGACCTCAGCAGGCTGACGTTGTCCGATCGCGAGCAGCGGGAGCTTTATCACGCCGCCAGGATGATCCAGAAGGCGTACCGGAGCTACAAGGGCCGTCAGAGGCAGGAGGAGGCCGAGAGGCACGCCGCCGTTCTCATCCAACAGTACTATCGCCGTCACAAGCAGTACGCCTATCACAGGTAACTCTCGTCCTCCTGTTTGCGCGAGGCAGTCCTCGCTCCTCCAGTTTGTCGCGAGTTTTCATCCCTATCGCTCATTTTTACATTATTAGCACATTGCGTTGTTATATTTATAATCAAGAGGCACGGTAGCGCTTCTCGCGCCAACTTCGGCGCAACGAAACGCGCCCTCGAACGGCTTATAATTACATCTAATACTTAACCGTTTAACAAGATTTAATTATACTGATATAATTCTGTCAATATAATTATAATAATAAGTAGGACATAATATAACAATAATGTGAAAGAATGAGTATTCATTCTTATTCATAATTGTACAATCATGTGTGCTCATTTTTCAACTCATCTTTCAACATGATTATATCGACGTGATTTTATCGATATAGTTATATCTTTATCACTTACATTTACATCCAACATGTTCGCGCGCGGGGACGTTGATATATTTGCCGTTTATTCTCCGTAAAGTCGCGGTTTTTGTTCTCTCGCTTGGGAAATTCTCACCCGAGAGCGACGCGCGGCGCTCGCTCGTTCGCTGTCTGGCCGCTACGGTATTATCTACTTGGCGCCGGGGCATGCGAAGTAGATGCAGACGGACGGATACGGACAGAACCTGTCCGCGGGTCTTTATACGGGCGCACGTGTCCCCCTCCCCCCCCCCCGAGTTGCGAACTCAAGGTTGTTAAGTATGACAGATTATTATCTCGCATCGCGGAGACATCGCCAAATTGCTTGGAGCTCGGAAAGTTAAGTTTTCATCGATATCTCGTCCGCTATACGGAGAGGGGCAGAAGGGGTGGGAGGGAGTGAGAGAGGTAGGAGACCCGGTCGTCTTAATAAGCGATAATTAATAACGGGGAACAAGACGTACCATTGTGGGCCGACTTAACGACCTGACTGAATTAGACTGATGCTACCAAAGTTCGACCCGTGTACCTCTCGGGGCGAACTTTTAATTGGCATCGTAAATAATTCGGAAACTTCGCGAACTCGCCCGCCTCCGCTACGGTGGCCTGAATACAGAATTAAGTTGGCATTAAATTAATACGACTTTCGCCGAAGACGGCAGACCCCCGTGGCGATGGGTCGGTTTGCTCGGCTGCTTGCTTGCTTCTTCGCTCATCGTCGAGCCGTACACGCGGCGCGATCCGAACTTTCCGGTGTAATGTCTCCGAAATTAGTTACAACCAGCTCGTTGCAGGTATATACATATATATATATATATATGCATATATAACGTACGTTATCATCGCGGAATCTTCGCGGAAATGTGATTCGCGAACGAGCGAGAAAGGATCGCGGGCGCGCGGCCAATTTCAACTGTCGTCTGACGAAGAACGAATGTCGAAACGTAATACCGTTTCGACAGGAACGGCTTTCAATTTTCCGTTTATAGCGTCGTCGCGTGCTGATCCCGCGCTCGCTCGGAACTTCTTACACGATTACGGCAATTATTCGACTTCTCCGGCCGCGGCTCACGTGCTTACGCACGTTTTTTCTTTTATCACATGCACGCGCGCGCGCACACACACACACACACACACACACACACACACACACACACACACACATAGGCATTTCTTCACGCTGTTGCCGTATCTCTCGTTGCAGGCAAGCCACGAAGGCTGCCCTAGTGATCCAGAACAACTACCGGAATTACCGAGCGCGACCGGGCTCGGCCGGCACGAGGCAGCAGGCGGTCCATCAGCAAGCGGCTCATCAGGCAGCGCGGAAGATCCAGCAGTTCATGCGGCAGTCCAAGATCAAGTTAGTATCCCTAGGGTGCGCGTGTACGTGCTGCATTTCCTGTTGCAACGATGTGCACGCACAATTAGTTACGTAGATGAGACATACTCGTTTAGCACACGAAAGGCTTATACGTACGAAAAGAAACGACATGTAAAAGAGTTCTAAAGTCTCCCTCTTCTGTGTGTACTAATGCAGCTTGTCGTGGGACGATTCACGACCGGTAAGTAACGACCGTAACTCCGTAGTAGTGGGGCGATTGTTTCGGCGAAACAAGTGCTCGTTTATCGTTCCTGTCTCTTCCGCCGGAGGGAATTCGCTCCGTCGCTTCCGCCGTGTTACGTGTCCCCCGACGCACCCCCTGTTTCACGGCGCACGAATTAACGAGTTACATATGTCTACACGTTATACCCCGGGACCCGGTTGTGTTGTGTACAACGTGCCCTCGGCCGCACGCAGTCTGTGACGGTGCTTCGTGTTTACTGTTCTGAATGTCTCGTCGGTATATTCGGTGTCTCTTGTCTACAACGATACCGTGTTACCCGTGTCGCTTAATTTACGTAGAACCACCGAGTTCCTTGATGATCACTTTGCCGGTAATCCGTGCGCGAGTACGTCAAGTGAGAGGCAGAGAGAGAGAGAGAGAGAGAGAGAGAGAGAGAGAGAGAGAGAGAGAGAGAGAGAGAGAGAGAGAGAGAGAGAGAGAGAGAGAAAGAGAGAGAAAGAGAAAGAGAGAGCATGTACTTACATATGTGCAATGTGAGTCATTTGCAGAATCGCCGCTCGGTTCTTGCGTTTTGAAACGCGGCTGCTGCACTCTCGGATGTACATACCGTGGTTTCAAGTGATACAAAGCGTGCAAAGTCACTCTCGCGGGAAGAATCGCAAGTAACTTCAGCTTCCGCCGATCGCGTTGGAATAATTATGCCAATGGTCGCATGCATCTCTCAGATACTACCGTATTCTCATTAAACTGCCAGCTGATTAACTCTTGATCGTTGAATATCTACAAGTGAATATCTCTGATCGCGGAAAGCGACGTGTGCAAAATGATAATCCAACTAACTACGTCAAAATCGAAGACAAAATCTTGTCCCTCATTCGGTACGTTTTGTCGACTTAACGGGTATGCTACCTTGACGTATCTGGCAGATGTGGCAGATCTGGCAGATCTGCGCGATCGGCGGAGGATTAAAAATCGAAGAAATCAAGTGAAATATATTCTTCTGCCGTCGTTGAATATAATTCATTCACGCGTGTACCTCGATTTAATTTCTGACACTTGAGATTCCTGTCTGGAATACGTCAGATTTGAGATATTTCTAACGCTCTGAATATATCGATGACAAACCGCTTGCCGTGTTTTGTGTTCGCGGGGCAAGATGGCGGCACTCTGAAAGAAATATACATTGTCGTTGTGTGAAAAGGTAGACTCGCGCAGCGAATGTTTCAACGCGACGAGAATTCGAGTGTTCGCGCCGCGAGCACGACGATTCGACGTGATTAGCTCTGCTCTCGCCGACGGGTTGGCGCAAAGTGTCGATCACCGGGGAACGCTTAGATGCCGTTCAACTACTCTGTCTGATATATGGCCGCCGGTATAATTATTATTATATTACCTGCCTGATCATTCGGTGTTACCGTTACGTGTGCGCACATACAGCCACACACACTCTCACATCCACACATACACGCATCCACACACACATACACACACATCCAGACACTCGAATGCGCGAATGTGATGCGCCGTCTGCGCGTTATCGTATAATGCGTACGTTTCTTGAATCAGACTGCAGAACGCCAAGGCCGTCGCAAGCGGGAGCGGGAGGCAGCCAGCGGTCACTTCGCGGGTGGCTGCTGTCCCCCAAAGCTCGCCCTCATCTAGCCCAGGGGCCAGCCTAGTAGCCGCCAACCCGGAGGTCACCTAATAGTCGACTGCCAGTCCAACGGCACGCGGAGCGGCGACGACGGTTCGCTAGTTAAGTAAACGACGACGCGGTAGCCGCGAGGTGGTCGCGAGATGACGCGAGAGGAGAAGAGGCGCGCACGGATGCGCTCCGAAATCCGGGAAGCCATCGCGACGCTCTTCCCACAGAAGGCGGGAGAGTGTCACCTGACCCCTGTGACCTCGACGAGGTCGTTGGCGACAGCAGCAGCAGCAGCAGCAGCAGCAGCAGCAGCAACAACTACTACGGGAAAGGGTACCAGACGTACGACACGGATCACACGCTTCGTTCTCTGCGTCTCTGATTTGCGTACCCGGTTGTTGACCTACCTTTTCAAGTCTCTTATCATAGTTTCAACCTTTTGTCCCTTACAAACACCTACACACACACACACACACACACACACACATGTGCAAACACATACATATACATATAAACCAAGTACACGAGACAGCCGCACTGAGTCGACACTGCTCGTGCACAGCGCGGATTTCATCCCCGATCGCTCGTTTGTTCCGCTTGTACCTTATTACTATTCGTGCGTTTCCTCACCCCGTTGACGCGAGCGATTGACGCGAGCGAGCATAGCGGGGCTAGGTGGACGGATGTATACCCGTCTGTCGGAGGGTAGACGACTAGACAGGTTGACGACGACGCGCGCTCCAGGGGTACTTAGGCGAAGATTAGCGGCGAAATGCCCAGTCGATCGACTCCGAGGCACGCTTGTAGAGTAACAAGTATACACACAGAGACATATGGACATACACACACACACACACATACACACACACACACACACACACACACACACAAACGTACACGTACACACGGTTTTACCTTCCGCTTTCTACGATACGTACATGATGTAAGGTAACCACATAGCGCGCGTGTCGCGCCGCGCGAAAAGCGCGGATCCGCTTTCCCCGGCACGTACGTTAATTTCTCAGTACATAGATACGAGTCTACTTGCGACGCAGCATCGAAGTCGACGAGTCGTGGCTCGCGATACTTCACTCGCATCTCCTCGTGTGCATCGAGCTGAATCGCACAAAATGAGAAAAACAATGTTATCGCTTTCGTAGGATATAGGTAGGGTAGGTAGGATAGGTAGGGTAGATTAGTAGGGGCGCTCTCTAGGGTGGCTCTCGCGGTAGGTTCGTCGCCCGGCGAATTTCGCGGTTCCGTGTAGAGGTCTCTCTTGAACTGAGCTATTTCTTCGGCACGAGGCTCTTTGTAGGCATAGGCATGTTTCTTCTTCGATGACACTGGTCGACAGGTTCGACTTCTTCTTTCCTTTCGTTCTCTTTGCTTTTTGTCCTCTTTTTCGGGTGAACGAGGAACGCTGAAACTGATTGTGCGCGTGTGTGTGTGTGTGTGTGTGTGTGTGTATGTGTGTGTGTGTATGTGCGCGTGTGTGTGTCCTGCGCGAGTCCACGTCGGACTCGCGCGGAGATGAAGCGTCGCGTCCGCGTGTCTTACGTGACGATTAGATCCGCGCGATCCACGAGCGCAATCGAAAGTGAAGTTCAGCGCGTATCTCGTTGCGAGTGAAACTCCAGAGGCAACGGCGACCTCTTGGTCGACCTGGCGGTCTCTTTGTTGACTCGCGGAATCTCGTTGACTCGTGTCATCGTGGCATTCTACCGATCGCGTCGAGATTCACAACTTTTGTCATTTTTCCCCGTGCAAAGGAGTGCATTCGTGTACAACAGCTGTGTTGCATCTGTTTCTCCGACGAGTGGCGGCACTCTCATTGATCACACGTACACGTAACACGTACACGTACACCACGTAATCTCACTTGCATAGGGAACAGCCGATACTTTCCATTCTTCCTTAATGATAATACGTTCGTCGATTTTCGCTGCCGAGTTCGTCGCTACCGAGTCGATTTCAAACGAGGAACGTTGACAACGTCGACAACGTTCCGGTCTCCGGCGGGAGAAGTAACGAAGGGTGTTTATCCTGAGTTCACGCGTGAATCCGAGCTTCAAACTTTCCATCCGAGCGTGTTTCGTATTTCACGTTCGCATGTCAGGGACCGCGACCAGCCAGCTGACGTCGACTGACGTCGAGCATAAGGGACGGACGCGCGAATTCGGAGCGAATACACGAGATCGAAGACTCCGAGAGAGAGAGAGAGAGAGAGAGAGGAGGGGGGAAGCTAGCGCTGGACCACGTTTTACGAAACGAACGGATCAGGACAGGACTGGGGAACGAGACGTGCGAGAAACGAAAAGACGAGAATCCGAAGCGCGAATCGGAACGCGAGATTAGACTTGATACTTCTCGAGGTTAGCTTCTGATTTCCGATCGGTGTTACATTGTCCACGTCCATTTTTTATATTTTTTACAAGAGGCGTGCGTTGTAGTGATTAAATTTAGGTAACTCGCGTGAGCTGGACGCGCGTTCCTATCGTTCAGCGGGAAAGAAAGAGAAAATGACAGAGAATGGGAGAGAGGGTGAAAAAGGGAGAGGAAGGGCAAGAGCACCAACCGACTTGTAACGCAACGTCGTGAATCTATTTGTACATACGTATTCAGGTGCGAAACGTACTGACGTTCATCACGTAGCGAAAACGGTCTTTTCCGTGCGCGGGAATTGGTTTCGTCCGAGAGAAAATCCGGAAAATGTGGAGGCGAGAGGGGGGACTGCGCGTCGATCTAGAAGAATTTTAGAGAAAGAGCGGGTAAAAGGGAGGAAAGGGCGGTAAGGGCAAGGAGAGAACGACGGTTGTTAGGCGAACGAGGTAGCTACTAGAAGAAGCGAAAAACGCGGTGGAGAGACGAGTATCGAGAGCGACTAGAGGAAACAAAAGAGGGGATATAAACGACAAAAAGAAAAAAAAGAGCAGTGAGAAATAAAAGAAACAGGCCCTTCGTCCAAAGGGCGCAACTTCATCCACGGGCTGTGCTAGTCACAGTATAATCAACTTCGTAGAGTTACTTCTAGGACATAAGGCTAGTCGATTACACATTGTTACAAAAAACTACCTACCGTTTCTCTCTCCGATAGGGGATTTTTTAAAAGGTTCTCTAGCGTAAAAGAAAAGGAAGAAGGAGAAGGAGGAGGAGAAAAAAAGAAGAAGAAGAAGAAGAAGAAGAAAAAGAAGAAGAAGAAGAAGGTAATTTAGCGGTTAATTAAGAGCGTAGAGTTGACTGTGGACGCGCGCGATCTCGCGCGATCGCGCGAAGGCGGCGACAAGCCGCGGTTGTCCCGCGTTCAAGTTCTGATCGGGGCAGGACAAACGTCTATTGTGATAAATTAATGATGATCCAAGAAAGTATTTCCGCGCAATGGGACAAAGGGAGAAAAACTAATGAGAGGGGGGAGAGAGAGAGAGAGAGAGAGAGTGTGTGTGTGTGTGAGGAAAAGAGAGACTATGTCCGCCGACACACGGAAGCGGAAAGACAGACAGACAGACCGACAGACAGACAGACAGAACAGACAGACAGAGAAAGGTAGATAGATAGATAGATAGATAGATAGATAGATAGATAGACAGACAAATCCGAACTAACGGCGAATCGAGATTACGCCCTTGCAAGATCTGTCGGAGGGGTGAGGGGTTTGTACGCGTACGGCGCGCGATGGCGCGACGTTAAGAGTGAACTCGCGGATCGAATCGCAGTATTTCTTCAAGAATCGGAGATTCACCCCGTATCGACCGCCTTTCCTCTCCGTTACAGCTTTGCAAGGCAGCAAGTTGTGTGTGTATGTGTGTGCATGTGTGAGAGAGAGAGAGAGAGAGAGAGAGAGAGAAAGAGAGAGAGAGAGAGAGAGACTTGGAAACGAGGTAATAGCGAAGCGCGAGAGGTGGTGGGATATTACTACAATATATTGTACACACGAGTCAATTCCAACGAGCATTTTCAATGCCATTATAAGCTTAAAAAGTTATTAGTTATTAAATGAGGCGAGACGCGCGCGGGGGAAGGTTGAAAGGTGAAGAAGTGGTGGAGGAGTAGGAGGAAGAGAAAAGTGAGGAGTATAAAGAGATAGGAAAGATGAAGGAGAAGGAGAAGGAGAAGGAGGAGAAAGAGGAGGAGGAGGAGGAGGAGGAGGAGGAGGAGAGTAAAACAAATTCTTACACTCTTTTAATCATTGTTAATTAATTAAATAATCACGATCCTATCGAATATTTAAAATGAGTAAATAATAATTATTATATACACAAAACTATTATTATATTCATATTTTTGCTTATTACATATTTAAGAATCTAATTAAACGAGGACTAGCGATTAATAAACGTAGCGGGAACGAGAGGCGCGTGGTAGAACGAGGAGATGACGCGACCGGGAGACACGACGTAGAGAGCTGAGTCTCGAGAGTTAATAAGGGGATTAATAAACTCGTCTACGATCGTCTCGACCGACCTGAGCTTGTAAGACGCTCGCGATCGTGCGTGGCAATCTGGTCTCGAATTTTACACGAAGGGAAAAATTTTTTCTGACGATACGGCGTGTGCGCGCGCGTGCGCGCGAGCGCGGTCTCGGCGAAGGGCGAGGGCCTGTCGCTTTTCCCGGGGTTACAGAAGGACAAGTTGAATATACAAGTATTTTTCACCCGCAGAGAACGGCGGACAGACGACGGCCGACACCGCGCGGACGCCAAGCGCTCGCCCAAGTTACGCCCAAGTTGTTCCATGTAATCGCACGATTTCACCACGTACACGCGACGACAAGCTGAACTAAGAAGGGTACGAAGGGTGAAGGGTCGCGAGGGAGCGAGAGCTAGAGAGACAGACAGAAAGATAGAGATAGAAAGACAGAGGGAGGAAGAGGGTGGGAGGGGGATGGCTGAAAGAGGAGGCAGGCCGCTGAAAAAAATAATCTTACTTAAAAAGACATCGCTAGGGTAGGCGCTTCGAGGATGCATAAACTTTAAAAAGTCATTTAATACAAATTATTCTCAAAATATAAAAGAAGGTTAATAAGTAAAGGGAGAAAAGATTTTTAAATCTACATAAGAAAGCCAAGAAGTCAAAGACGACTAGATGATAGGAGCCGCATGGCCTAACTGCTGCCACTTTAATTAATTAAATAATTAATTATAACTTTATTACAATTATAATCTCGATAACACACATACACACACATATACAAATAGGGAATGAAAAAAATAGAAACCTATTACATGTACACCCCAACACACACATACGCAAACACACCAGACACACTATGTCATACCACTTTTCAAACTACTCTCTAGATGCAGAGACGAATCAGTAGGGTATATAATAGCGGACTATTAAGCAAGAGATAAAACTTGAAGAAAAAAAATGAAAAAAAAAAATAAAGAACAGAACTAACTTCTCTCTTCTAAATCCGGGAACGATCGAGACTCGCGCTAAGAAGAAGAAGAATAATAATAAAGAGATTCAAATATTTCCACTTATCCAATTTACAGAATCGCACGAGACACGCGCGCGCGAGAGAGATCGCACGAGGTGTCCCGCGGTTCTCGTAGCCCCGCGAGCTCGCCCCGGTTATTATATCTTTCGCCGCCGTTCCGCTCCGACCGCGTGTCGAGGGTCGCGCCCGTCACGTGTGCTCACGGGGGCGAGAAAGCGCGGGTCTGATGCCGCCGCGAGCCGGAGGTACGCTTCGTCGCATCGCTGGACGAGAGATACCGCGGCTTCGAATGCGCGGCACGAGAGAAATACAGAGAGCGAGAGAGAAAGCGGAGAGAAAAAAACGTGAAAACGCGCTCGCGATCGTCGGAGCGGAACGGCTCCGCCGCGGCTCGGGACACCGTCGTTCCGGCTCTATATATCTCGCAGAAATCTTTCCGTATATTTTTTACAAAATAAAGAGAAGAAGGAGGAGAAGCGACGAGGACGAGGGGGACGAAGAAGAAGAGGAGGAAGGTGCGCGAAAGTCCGTCGGCACGGTGACCCGGAGCTTCCCGTCGCGTGTCTCTCTCTCGTACGCGGTCCGCGCGCGTGGCCGCACGACTCGCGGGCGCGCGATCGCGCGAACACGCGACGCCCGGCGCGTCGCGCGCGTCACGATGTCGAAAGGGTCGAAACGATCGGATCGGTGCCTATCACGTTTGTACAGACACGGAGACGACATTGCACACACAGACACAGACACAGATCACCGAGGAGACAGGGGAGGGGTGGGAAACAGAGACAGACAGACAGATGTATTGATACATGGGGGGGGGGGGAGTCACACGATCACAGGGAGTGCGGAGCCACAAAACGCCACGGAAACACAGAGGGGTGCAGAATTACAAAGACGGAAGACACACAGGGGGTGGTTTATATAGACGCCTGGTGGAAACTGCGTAGACGCACACTTGTTCAGTTCCGCCGAGAGCGGAGAGACACGGAGAGATGTAAAACGATACGATCACGAGAAATTACAGAGACAAGATCGCGAAAATTTAAAGACAAACACACACACACATACAGAAACATACGTACGCGTAGATACGTACACACACACTGTTCCTTCGTCGCGACGGTCACTTTGTACCTGCTTGCTGCCTGCCTGGTCCGTGCTACACACGACGCTACTACTAGTCTCGCGTGGCGGCGTTCACACTAAAACCCCACAGACCCACAGACACACACACACACACACACACACACACACACATAGGACACACAGACACCGCCTTTTAACTCCGCTCGATGATAATAACGTCCAAAAGCATATCGCGCGTATTTTCGTTGTGATAATCGGACGCGCGACACCGACGGCGGCGGCTCCTCGCGCCGTCGCCGTCGCGGTCGCGAGGATCATTTCTCCGCTTCGCGGACGCGCGTCGGTAATTAAAAACATACGCTAATGATTTTTGCCATTTGTTGTTCGGTCCCGTCGCCGGTTTTCTTCGCGGATGGGGGAGGGAGAGCGCGATTCTCTCCCGCGTAATGAGAGAACGTTCATAATTATGATGATGATAATAATGATGATGATGATGATGATGATGATGATGATGATGATGATGATGATGATGATGATGATGATAACAATGATGATGATGATGATGGTGGTGGTGGTGGTGGTGGTGGTGGTGGTGGTGGTGGTGGTGGTAATGATGATAATGGTGACGGTAATGATGATGATGATGATGATGATGGTTTCGACGGCTATTTCGACATCAATCCGCTCTCGACGTTTCCGCGTTCCAGAATTCAATCCGGCCCCATGGAAATCGCGATCCCCCTTTCTCGTTGCTAATTGCTAATCGCCTGGCCGGCAAACGTCCTCACCGACGAACGGCGGGGGGATGGAAGGAAAATCCTCGAGGGGGATCGGGATCGGTCGCCGGGACGGTTTTTGGAACAAGGGCGGCGTGTTAGATGCGACACGTACGCGCTAGATTTTAGTGGAAACGAATAAACGGTAAAGGCTCCATCTCTTGTAATATTTTTATTATCGCAAGCGTAATATTATAAATATATAAATATATATATGATTAAATTATATATATTAAATAAAGGGATTACGCGCGCGCCACTGTTTATTATTTATTGACTAACGTTCGACTAATATTGTAAATAATAACGAAAATATTTTATCTATATTTCCGATCCGGGGGCGCCGGGCGGGGGCGGCGTATTATCTCTTGTCCGCCCTCGCGGCGGCCAACACGGCCGCCGTTTCGCCCGCCCCTCTATTGTTACACCATTTCATCATTGCATTTAATAAATTATATATTTATTGACTCACTCACCTTTTCACTTGCCCCGACCGCAACACCACCTCGTGTTCGAACCTGTGCTTGCTTTCCCTTCTCATCTCTCGCCAGCCTCCCCACCTGATCCTGAATCCTGATAACGTCCGCGACTTTCGATGAACGATGTCTTCGACATTCGAGTCGAAATCGTCTGTTTTTCTTTCTTTTTTATTTTTCTTTAGATGGTTTGTAAAAGCGGAAGCTGAAGAAAATTATTTCTTTCCACGATTACATGGAAATTATTCGGTAAATTACGAAGAACGATTGCGCGCCCGTCGATATTCTCTTTTTCGTCGAGACGGCCACAGGAATATGATACGTATGAAGCTGTCCGGACGCACCGAGTATTGTCTACTCGAACCGATCGATCGGCTAATCGAAAGAATTAACGGACTTTGATTGATTCGTAACAAAACGCTGGTTATAGCTTGATCCCCAGGTGTAGAGTCGTCTAACTGGAAACCGGAACACGGGGGAGTAATACGATTACGCAAGTTGAGGAATATCCGAGCAAATAATGATCTTAGGATACGATGGCGACGGAGTTGCTCGCGGAGTTCCTATTGACGCCAAAGATGCCGAACTTGCAGTCCCGACTGCTCATCAGGCGGAGAGCGCCGAGCTGGGATTTCGCATGACCCCCTTAAGTTTAACGATCGTATTCACTCGCGTCGCGGCAGACGACCGTGATCCCGTTTTCTCATTATTATCACGTTATTTCACGCTCGTATCGTCGCGCGTTAGAAAGCGCGCTCCCGGCCGGCGAAGAGAAATCCACTCTCTCGTGTCGTCTTCCTTCCGCAACAATTTATTTAAAGCATACAAACGGTACAAACTTTACTTGCGTTGTCACTTTGAGTACAAATTAAATTAAATCGCTCGGATATATCGTGCGCGCACGAGAAGGAGATGCAGAGGGGAGAGGAGGGCAGAAAGAGAGAAAGAGACGGAGGGGTAACGGGAGGAGAGATGAATGTCCAGGTGGTTATGGGGAACGAAAACAGACAAACACTGCCGTGTGTTTCGTTTCGAAGCTGCCGAGCGGAGAATCGACCGGCGTCCAAGATGACTTTTAGGAATTCCAGCCGCTTACTGCGCGAGCGAGCGGCTCGATTCACACGTCGTTGCGCTCGCCGGTACGATCGCTGTACTGAATTTCTTTGCTTGGTTTTTCCCCTTTTGTTTCTTGCCATCCGTTCGGATGGTTCCTGTCGTTCCTGTGTATCGCGCTTCGCGCGGTATACCGAGTGTACGAGCCTGATGTTCGTCTAAGTGACGTCGCGCGTCTAGCGATCGCGGGAAAAGTAAAAGGGCGGATACGTGTTGTTGCCGAGAATCTCGCGGCGGAAGTCGGACCACTTCGGAGATCGGCTTACCTGAAGAATTGAAGAATTGTGCCGAAGAAAAGAATAATATACTCCGTTTTTCTTGTTAATCTGCTCTTTGCTGCGACGATTAACGGGAGCAGGGCAGTTTGATGAGAGGAAGAAGATAATTAGAAATGAATAACGAGCGGGAGGGAAGAGGGAGAGATTGAAGCTCGAGAGCCTAAGATCGTTCGCGCGTTTCTTCTCGTGGCAGATCCAGCCTTACGCGCGCGCGCGCGCGCGCGAGAGAGAGAAAGAGAGAGAGAGAGAGAGAATATTAGTGAGGAATAAATAAACGCGGTGAATTTCGTCAATGTTAATCAGCCTGTTTTAGTCAATGCTGACGAACGAGAACGCTCGGTTCAGGATTTCAGGATTTCAGGCGCGTTGATTAGTCGCGCGCCTATCGCGCCAATTATTCACCGACGCGATAAGAAATGGATAATGGTTAATTGCCGCGATCAAGCGGCGATAGATTTTTCATGCGGTCAAATGGAACGACGCGCGGCTCTAGTTACGATGCAACGAGGATTATCTACATGTTTTTATTTTCGCCGGATGCAAAATGCTGGCGCGATTAATCTGTCATGTCACCGGGCGGCGGTGGAGAGCGAAGGGGGGATTATGCCAAAGTTCTCTCAAGATGGCGCGAGAGGGTTTCCCGACGGGCAAAATTTTCTGGGAAGAGAGGCATAACTGTGTTAATATCCTGACAAAACAAGAGAGAGGAGAGAGAGGGAGGGAGGCAGGGAGAGAGAGAGAGAGAGAGAGAGAGAGAGAGAGAGAGAGAGAGAGAGAGAGAGAGAGAGAGAGAGAGAGAGAGAGAGAGAGAGAGTGAGTGAGTGAGAGAGGTAACGCGACATCCCATTGGTCGATGGGAATCGCTCTCGCGGAAGCGTTTCGATCGGAGTTTGCCGATTCGACAAACGCTCCGTTTCACGATATACATTCTGAGCTCTTTAAATCCTTTTAATCGGCTTTTCCCATCAGTTTTCCTCATTTTTCCTGCGGAGACATCCAACTCCTTTCTCAATGTTTTCACAAGCATGCCTTTTCTATTTTTTTTTCTATTTTCCACTTTTATCCGTGAGCAGAGGAGAGGGGGAGGGAAAGGGGGTATTCGGAGTCGTTCCAACGACGTTCAACTTCGCTAAGTGTTAGTCGCGTATCTCGGATCGCAAAATAAAAAAGTGAGAGTACTGAAAAGAAGTTACCGAGACTCGAGAATCGAGAGTGCTCGTTCGAGTTGGCGAGTCGTCGGGCCGCGGCGAGTGTTCACCAAGATGATCAAACGTTAGCCGGATGTAGCTTCGACTTGTCATCGCCCACTTATCATCGATAACTCGAAACTGATAAACTCGAACGCGTCGACTCGAGTCTCAGAATACTTGGACCCGGTGATTCTCTCGGTCGCAGACGACGATGTTGCCGGTGGAGGTGACGGCGACGCCCTCGAGGCCCTTGAACTCGCCGTCGCCGCTGCCCCAGCAGCCGAAAGACTTGAGGAAGGCGCCCTCCGGGCTGAAGATCTGTATGCGGTTGTTGCCGGAGTCGGCGACGACGATGTAGCCCTGGTCGTCCACGGCGACGCCCCGCGGGAACTTGAACTGGCCGTCCTCCGAGCCCTCCGTGCCGAAGGAGGTCAGCACGCGGCCGTTCACGTCGAATATCTGCACGCGGTGGTTGTTGCCGTCGCTGACGATCACCCGGTTCGTGTTGCTCACCGCGATGTAATGCGGATGTTCTAATTGGCCGCGTCCGCTACCGCAGGAGCCGAACTTGCCCACGAATGTGCCGTCCGATTGAAATACCTGCGAGCGGTGTCCCGAGCGGTTTAGCCAGCGGTTTTGGGGACTCGCGGGTGGCGCGGGTGAAGCTTCTAACGATCGCGCGTGCGGGCCGGGATCGGTGCGGGAAGGGGGGGGGGGGAGGGGGATCGGGTAATTAAGTAGTGAAACTGTCGGGCAAGAGGGATTTCCCGAGGACGGACGCGAGAGTGAAAACACGATCTGGCGGTTCTGTTTCACCCGTCGAGTGTTTTCACTTTTCAAAGTCGCAGAGACGAGACTAAAATTCAACTTGATCGGAGGGGGGACTCTTCTAACGATCGCGCACGGGAGGCTGTTAATTGAGTAGTGAAATTATGAGGCAACGGGAATTTCCGGAAGGACTCGGTTTACGCCGTTGACGTGATAGTGGAGAGAAGCGATCGACGGGTCTACTTCATCTCTTGAACGTTCGCATTTCAAGGGCACGCAGAGGCGAAACTGCAACTAAATCACACCTCTATCTTATCCTTCTTCCCCTTACTTAAGATGAAAGGATAAAACGAAAAAAAAAAGAAACGCTCAATAAAAAGCTCAGTAGATCAAATCAAGTGGCGGATCTCGACGCTCTCGACCTTCTCGACGCCGAGGCCGTCGAAGAAGGCCGAGCGCGCTCGATCTTCCAACCTGGCCAAGCCGGCGTACCTGCACGCGATGGTTCTCCTTGTCGCACACATAGATGAAGCCGAGGGCGTCGGTGGTGATGCCCCAGGGGTAATTGAAGCGACCGTCGGCGGTGCCCTGAGAGCCGAAGGCCCTGAGGAAACGACCGGACGGATCGAGCACCTGGATCCTGTGGTTGTAACGGTCCGCGATGATGTACTGGCCGATTCGATTTACGGCCACCCCGGCGAGGCAGTCGAATTCACCCTCGCCGCTCCCGTACGTTCCGAACTCCTTCATGAAGTTCCCATTACCGTCGAATACCTGCGGAGCCAGAGCGACGGTTACGGCCGCTTACGTACAACAAGCGGCCGGCGGCAATCGTTTACATCGATCGCGCGATATTAAAATCGGTTCGCGGCCGACCGCAATAACGAGCAGGAATTTTCTTCCCCCCTCCCGCCCCTACGAGCCGCTACGAGGTCGGCTTATTTACGATCGCCGATACCGCGCCGCGGCCCCCGAAGCGCGAAGCCAACACCGTCGTGGCGCTGCAAGACCTCCGTTTCGCGATCCGGGGTTAATTATTATCGCTTCGAACGATCCACGCTTGATTTATCGAGGCACGCCTAGTTTAGCGATAGCCGCCATGTCGGCCGAGCTTGGGCGTCGAACCTGAGTAATACTCGGCGATATCTTAGGTGAGATATCACGGGGAATCTCGCGGGGTTGACGGCGGGATTTCCGCCCGCGCCCGCCGTAAATTAAAACGCGCGTTATTAAATTCGTATGCGCGATTTTTCGGAGGCTCCCGCGACGATCGTTGGCCGGGCCGCCTGTGGTACTTGCGGAGTTTTGGTTGAGCGAGGATTAATAATTAATTAGTTAATTAGTGTTTCGGAAACGCCGTTGGCGCTGTTAAGAAGTCTTCAAGTTTCGTTCGGCAGTTCCAACACAGATTCGGCTATATTACATGCAATGAAAATGAAGACTCTCGGATATTCAATCAAACTCGGTTAATGAGACGAGCTTGAGACGCGCGGATATATGCGCGCGCGCGCGGAAACGCAGATCGGGGGTATTCCCCGGCGTTATAGACGGAAGCGGAAGGAAGTTTAACGCCAGCGCGAAGAAAACGAATACCGTCGCTTAAGAATCGAACGATGATATTGCGAAGAGAAGAGGAAAGAAAAGAGAAGCGGAAACGCCTCTCATCCAAGCAGAAATATAATAACGATTACAAAAAGGAGAAAGCTTTGAACTCCCCCAGTCACTTCCCCAGTCTCCGATATATCAAAGCCTCGGGCTGCGAATGAGCGAACTTCACTGAATCCCCGAGAAGCTTCATTTCAGTCGCACGCGCGCGTGCAGATCCTTTCCGCGAGATATACGTGTATCGCGTTACACCGGTCCGCAATTCCGCACTTGGTAGCTCGCAGCATCGTTCTACTCGGCATCGCACTCACAAGGTACATCCGTGAAGTGTGCCTCCGATTTCGACAAAACTCGGCATATTTGTAGAGCAGCCCAAGATAAGAGACCCCGTATACTTTTATCGGCAACGGCTCAGGTTTAAGGAGTGAAACTGCCCCTCAAAAAGTTTCATCCCCTTTATGCTATCTCGATAATTATTGCAGATAGGAAAAACCTTTTCAAACAAAAATTGTATAGTTTTTTATGCCGTACAATTTTTGTTTGAAAAGTGTTTTCCTATCTGCAATAATTATCGAGATAGCATAAAAGGGATGGAATTTTTGAGGAGCAGTTTCGCCCCTTAAACCTGAGCCATTGCCGACAGAAAAAATACCAGTCTCTTACCAGTCTTTGGGCTACTCTACGAGTGTGCCAAGTTTCGTCGAAATCAGCGACACACACTTCGCGGATGTTCCTTATCAACCTCGCGAGAGCGGCTCGGAGAGCCGCTCTCGCGAAACAATCGTACTTACTTGAACACGATGGTTCGAGCTGTCGGCCACGACGATGGAGTTGTCCGGGCCGACCGCGAGGCCTCTCGGCCAGGTAAAGCATCCGGCTTCGCTCCCCCGCATCCCGAACTTAAACAGCTGCCGCCGCTTCAGCAAGTAATGACTCCTCCGACCATTGCTGGAACCGATTAACGAGGCGGTCAATAAAGCTCATTAAGCGGATTCCCGATCTCTCCCGGCGATTATAGGTCCTTCTCGTCAGCCGGAGGGCTCTCGCGCGAGCGCGGCCGCGACCTAATCGCACAGGCGTGTTATCGCCGGGCCAAAGCGTGCGTTATCTGTCATCCGGTAAAACCTGCCGACACCCTTTATCGAGTTAAGGGAAGTTCATCCGGCGCTCACGAGGCGCGGACGAGGCAACGACCGGCCGGCTTAAACTCGGATATAGTGGCGGCTCTGTGTCTTCATTGCGCGCCGCTGTTCTCAAACGAATGCTTTTCGTAAATCCACTTTTCACCGGCGGGAGGGACGCGCTCGGCTCGGCTCTGGGAGCAGCGCGCGCGGCCGGTAGATCTCGGAGGAGAATTACGGCTACCCCGAGAAGGAAGAGGAGCCGCGCGCGCGCGCGCGCGCATCGCGCGAAGCGGTGCGCGGTTGTTTAAGGTTGCGAGTAACGAGAATAAAGTGTTTTGATCGCGATGGCCCCCGACCGCGCCGCCCGCGCCCCGTCCAGCCCGGAGGACGCTTCCGCTCACTCCGGTTCTCGAGTGCGCTGCGCGCCGTATTCAGAGAGTCATACGTTCTCCCTAACGAGTATAGCGCGCGCGCGCGTCGCGTCTCCTCGCTCTATAAAGTACGAAACTTAAGTTCCGTCCCGTGGGTAGTTAGTTGACCGGCCATCGCGAGGAGGAAGAGCTCCTCCCTCCGCTGAGGGGACTCTCGAGAAATGGCCGGGGGAAACTTCGCGTCCCACGCTCGACCGTTTCCCCGGATCAATCGGAGCCGGCGCCGAGATAAGACGCTCTTTTCGCAAACTCTCCCGCTGCCGTAAGTGGTATCGCGCGAAAGTCCACGATCGAGGGAGTTCGGGCATTTTTTACGTCAGAGAGCAGCGGGGAAAAAGACGAGGAAAGTACGCCGATGTTCCGAGCCAGTTTGAGAATTTGCGCGAGAACCCCTTGGCTCTAAACCCTTCGAGGCACGTATTTATCGGAAAATCCGAATCACATGAAAATTTATATACGGGAGTTTCTGGGGTCGCTGATGACGAGTCCGTTATCAGATCTTCGAAATTCATCAGATGGCGGGTCCAAGATGGCGGATGCAAAAATGAAAAATCACGATAATTTCGGTGACAATGAGTATTGTGGGGTTTTTGGAGTCGCTGATTACGAATCCGTTATCAGATCTTCGAAATTCAAGATAGCGGACTCGAGATGGCGGCCACAAATCTGACAAATTAACTAACCGGAAGACAATGCCAGGTAAATATATTAGAATTCCATGATCCGCCAACTTGAATCTGCAATCTTGCACAATGAGTTTTGAACCTTGGATTCGTAATTAGCGACCTTGAAAGCTAACCAAAGTACAATTTCAACTAATCATATAAAAATTTTATGATCCGCCATCTTAGAAATAAATTTTAGAAAATAAATAAATAAATTTTAGAATTTGGACCTCAGATTCGTAATCAGCGAGCTCAAAAACTAACTAACTAAGTACAGTTTTAGCTAATTTTATGTGCATTCTATGATCCGCCATCTTGGAAAATGAATTTTAGAATGTGAACCTTAGATTCGTAATAAGCGACCTCCAAAACTGGCCAAAGTACAATTTTAGCTAATTTAATAAAAATTCTATGATCCGCCATCATTGGAAAATGAATTTTGGAACTTGGACCTCAGATTCGTAATCAGCGACCCAGAAAACCCCCAAATCTTGATTCTGAACAAAAAGTTCACTAATAGTTCGTGCAAAAATGATTCTTTTTTCTGTAAAAATGTGTATTTTTCACACCTGTTGTTTATTCATAATAAATGGACAACTTATGCAAAACACTTTTCAACTTTTCATGTATGTTCCCATATCATATAAGAAACTGAAAAACGGAAGGAAACCCGACAAGAATCCCTCAAATATAAAATATTTCATGAGAATGTGAGAATAAATAGGTGGTAAGTATACTCACCGCTATGCCTCAAAGGGTTAACGCAGCGCACAATGCGACACAACGAAGACTCACCTAGTGGAGGAACCTGCTGCCGCGGGTGTAACGGGAGCTGCCGTAGGGGACGTGGGGGAGCCTGACGGGTTTTTTTGGTCGTCGTCAGAAGATTCGAAGGACGTCTGGCCGGCGTGCCGGAGCGGTAAGCCCAACGACAGCCTCCTGGAGGTCGCGCTGGTACTGCGGACATGCGTGTCGCCTCAGCGTTAATGGCTTTCGCCGCGATTAACTCGCAACCGCGGCCTCGCTCGGGTGTCCACCCGTTTTGTCTTGGTCCCGATCGCGATCATAAGACAATGCTTTGCGCCGTGCGCCTGTCGTGCGCGCCCATGTGTCATAAATTTCTCATGCCGATAATGCCGACGTCGATGCAGTGCAATGCCCCGCGCGCGTGTATTATGCACACAGCGCGCTCGATTAAAGCTTATACATACCGCCGCACACAACTGCGTGTTGTATTATTTGCGATTTGACCGGCGACTGCTGCTCATTACGCGGAAAACGAACGATTCATTAATGTACCTCGCGCGCGCTCACTCAGGGCTGAAACGTTTGGCATTTGTAACTAATAATCTCGCGCGTACCGAGAGAATTGAGAACTATTTTTGCAACTGTCATCGTTGTGTGTGTCAACGGTAACCTTATATGCCGAGAGCAACGATAATTTCGAACGTTTTTTTCTTGACCATTTACCTAGATAATTAACCGTTTTAATTAAGCATCAACAATTTCTTTCTTTCTCTCTCTCTCTCTCTCTCTCTCTCTCTCTCTCTCTCTCTTTCTCATAAGAAACTCTTAAAGTTGTGTCTCCAATTTCGACGACACTTGACATATTTGTAGAGCAGCCAAAAATAAGAGACCCATATTTTTTTTATCGGCAATAACTCAGATTTAAAAGATGAAACTGCCCCTCAAAGTTTCATCCCCTTCATGTTATCTCGATGATTATTGCAGAGATAGAGAAAAACTTTTTAAGCAAAAATTGTACAGCATAAAAAACCATAAAATTTTGGTTTAAAAAGCTTTTTCTTATTTGCAACAATTATATCGAGATAGCATAAAGGGGATGAAACTTTAAAGGGCAGTTTCATCCCTTAAACCCGAGCCACTGTCGACAAAAAAAATATGGGTCTTTTATGTTCGGCTACTCTACAAATATGCCAAGTTTTGCCAATTCGTCGAAATCGGAAACACATACTTCGGCGGATATTCCTTGCCAGTTTGTTTCATAATTTTCTTGCCGCGGAACGTCGTTCAGCGAGCCGCGGGAGCTCTCACCTGGACGAGGGTATCGTGGAGGACGAGGAGGGCGGTTCCTTGTCCTTGGTGGTGCGGTTGCCGTATTTGTTCTTCAGGTACCTCGCCCACGAGCTCAAGGCCGCGCCGTCCTTCTCGGCGCCCGGGCGATCGCGTTCCGGGCTCGGTTCGCGCGACTTCAGCGCGTGGGTGCTGCGGCTGCGGGCCAGCTCGGAGCCGGCGCCGTACTTCGCCGCCAGGTAAGCGTTCGGCGACTGGGTGGTCGGCGATGGCGGCTCCTCGTCGAGGTCGAGGTCGTCGCCGCCAAAGTTGTGCGAGCTCCGGGAACGCGCCAGACGCTGCCGGCGCTCCTTCAGGGCGGCGTAGCGCGATCTCGTCGACAACGGCGAGTCTATCTCCGCGTCTGCGTCCCGTTCGCGTTCCCGTTCGCGGTCCCGCTCGCGTTCCCGCTCGCGGGACGCCATCATCGCCGCCTGGCTCCTGCTCTTGTTGAGGAACCTGAAACACAAATCGAGCAGTGTGGTCAGTTGGTCGGCCGAGCGTGTGTCTTCGTCTCGCTAATTGCCTAACACCGCGGCGCGATGGACTTGCTTCGCTCTCGCGGAGACATCCTCAAGGTAGCGTCAAGGTGACCTCGGAAATTTCGTCCGCTAACGTAATGGCGACTGAACGACTCTCGGCTCTCGGCTCTCGGCTCGGATATTTCCCCGGAATTAATCCGCGTGCGATAAGAGCCGCGAATGTTAGTGGCTGAATGTTCAAGTTTCGGCGGGGTAAAGGGTCAAGGACGTTCCTCGGAACGTCTCAGACGTCCTGAAAGCTGCTCTTCGATCACTTTCGCGAGAGCGATGCAATTCCATCTAGACGCGTGCGTCTGAGTCAACAGTTACACCGGCAAGTGGCAAGATTGCGCTACCGGCTGGCTGCAACAGAACGATGAAGCGGTGAATGAAAGATCAACAGTCAGCGTCAACAGTCGAAGAGCGTTTTATCATCTCCAGCCGTCTCCGCGTCTCAGCCCCTTGCCGCGTGTAACCGCCGGATAACGTGCGACCAGTTGTCCATAGAAGCGTGACACGGACCAGTTGTTAATTGTACGAAAATGAAAACAACGATGTCAAGGACCTCTGTTCTCTCCGTTACACCACGGCGTGCGCAAAGTATCCTTGCGCATTAAAATGCAGCTCGTTACGCGCGCGCAGCCCGGTTCGCCCTCGAGAGTTTTTCTCGAATTTTCGCAACATTTTCATCAACCCCTTCCCTTCGGCCGTCAGCTGACGAACCGAACACACACACACACACACACACACACTCGACCTGCTGATCGTTCATGAGCGCTGGCCGAATTCGAGGTAGATTTCGGGTAATCCCGGCACGCACTCTCGAGCACTGAAAGAGAGTAGTCCGTGAAAGAGTGCCTTGACCTCGGCACGCACGCGGAAAGACGATACCCACCGGGCCCCTCGAGAGCAGTCGGGATATATATATATATATATACACACATACGCGCGCGCGCGGTCGTATTTTCGTGAGAGACCCACGTCGAGCTGTTGCACAGACCTCGCACAGCTATTTCGAGCCGCATGCGTGCATGCGTGCCGCTGGTCCGGCGCACCGAGCCCGAGCGCGAGCGCGGCTCGCGCGATATCCGCGCGTGTAACCGAACACTTATCGGCGACGAAACACGGCCGGCAAAAAAGCGGACAAATATACCCGAAAAAATGTATATACGACTATTCATAGTGCGCTTTGTCTGAAAAGCCCCAAACGAGGCCAGAGAGAGAGAGAGAGAGAGAGAGAGAGAGAGAGAGAGAAAGAGAGAGAGAGAGAGAGAGAGAGAGAGGGAGGGAGGGAGGGAGGGAGGGAGAGAGAGAGAGAGAGAGAGAGAGAGAGAGAGAGACTCCGAGCGGAGGAAAGTGCCTCGACTGCGTGTCAGTTGCGTTCGTCAGCGGCCTCGATTAGTCTCGTCTTCGTGCGCCTTTCCGCAACGATCGTCGTCATCGTTGAGGAGGAGACGGAGCGCGAGGGAACGATCTTCTCCTCGGAGATACGTGACCCTCTTGCGGATTCAGCGAGTCGGCGGGTCGAATCGGCATGCCCGTGGGAGACGTTCTATTTGTCATGTGCACGACGCGTGCATCGCGTGTCGCAGTCGCGGCTTGAATTCCGCGCGGCACGTGTGCGCACGTGGCGTTAATGAGTTCGGAGGGGGCGGGAGGTTAAGGAGCCAACTGCTTCTCTCTTCGTATACACATGTTGGACGGACGGCAGACGGCCAAGCCCGTCTTGTCGGTCTATCTTGCCGTCTCGCTGGGCTCAAGCTCACGAGGCCGAGCTTTGCATGCGATTGATCCGGCGAAGCCCGCGGCTCCCCTCGCGATTGCACGTCGAGTCTCGGACGTAATATTGTCTACGCGAGGCTGCGTGTGTCCGCAGCCGCTAAGGTTGCAGCGGCAGCCACGACGAGCGTAGAGTTGTCTCTCTCGTCGTAGAGTTGCATTCACCGCGATCTTCGGCCGGCCCCGTTGCAGAGCTCCCCTGCGGCTTTCGCCACGCGCGTCGCGAGTGGTTAAAGGCACATCACCACGGGTAGTAGCGTTGGGGCGAAACTACCGATTAAAGCGCTTGGTTTTATCGCTTGCACCGCAGGAAGCCTCCAGCTGTACAAAGTACACGGAACTGCGGACGGTTACGCAGAGAGAAAAGCTTCCTTGGAATCGAAGTTCTCTCGACGAGAGGGAGAGCGAAACAGAAAGAGAGACAGAGAGACAGAGAGAGAGAGAGAGAGAGAGAGAGAGAGAGAGAGAGAGAGAGAGAGAGAGAGAGAGAGAGAGAGAGAGAGAGAGAGAGAAGCTCTGCGAGGAGATCAGCGAACAGTTAGTCAGTCTATGAGCGCTAACTTGTGGTCTGTACTGTCGCGAGTCAAGCGTGTAACGTCGTCAGTCAAAAAACGAGCGATCTAGAAGAGGTGACAGTCGTCGCACTAATCGCGGTACTGGTCGCGACATTGATTGCTGCTGCTGCCGCTTTGCTGTTGTTGCCGCTGGGTATTATTATTATTATTATTCTTATTATTATTATTATTATTATTATTATTACAATTATTATTCATGGCTTTTCAACTCGAGAAAGAAATGGAGAGAACCTATGCTTACGAAATGGCCAGCGATTTAATTCGATCCCAGCTCCATGGGCGAGTGCAACCATCGGCGTCCACCGATGCGTCGCACTTTTCACCACAGATTCGTGAGGCATCCTGTGTGACATGACGATGACGGTGATTATGAGGATACGTGTCTCACCGTGATTCGCACGGCACGCACGTCATCATGCACGTTTATCAGCGCAAGCGTTTCGGTTACATCGAGAGAAGCTGCGGGACTCGAAGCTCTGTTACTTTCTCTCATTATCAGACGGGGTGTGTGGGAGAGAGAAAGAGAGAGCGAGAGAAAGAAAGAGAGAGAGAGAGAGAGAGAGAGAGAGAGGTAAGGGTGGGAATCGCCGATGGGAAAGTCTGGAAAATTTCACCGTGGAGCCGTCGCTTTGTTTTTGAGTCACAGAGAGAGAGAGAGAGAGAGAGAGAGAGGGAGGGGGGGGACCGCTTTTCGGGTCTCGTCCGACTCGAGTTTCTCCGGCGCGTGCGCTCGCTATTCGATCGGGCGACACACGATCGTGCGCGACCGCGACGACAAGCTGGCTGGCGAAAAGCTGATCATTGATTAATCGCACAGAGACAAATCGGGGAAATGTAAATCCCGCCGCTCCCAGCCCCGCGGGGTTATATCAAATCTCAATTAACAAGCCGCGCCGCAGAGTTGGCGATGCGTAGGGATGCGGACTGCGCCCGATGCGGATGAGATTTTCGGATTGCGTCAAACAGTGTGTTTGTATTGGTAGGTCTCGGTAGGTAGGTTCTCGCATTTCCCCTCCCCTCCAGCCCGCCCGAATTCGAGAAAGTTCATGAATGTCCGCAAACTTCGGTATAAACATAGTTTATCGCGCGCCCGGTTTGTATGACTTTGCACCGAACCCAACTAAGTTCGTATTTCGCCCGTATTAGAACGGGCCCCGGTGCATCGGTAGAACCGACGTGTCACGAAGTAAGAAGTTTGCAGTTTACGAAACTGCTAGATCAGATTGCGCCCGTGGATCGATGGTTCTACGCGCTCTCTTCCTCGCAGAGCCGCGCGCGAAACGCAGCTGTGTGAGAGAGGCCCGGCGAAGTTTCGACACTGCCGATTCGTTATAACGGCGCGGGGCGAAGAGCGTGCAACGTGCCAAGAATACTGCGTGGCGTTATGCGGTAATCTATTTTCGCTCAGGCCGTTATTTTCACGTCGCGGCCATACGTTCGGTCGGTGGGAGCGGAGGGCGACGGGGAACCTCATTGCTTCTTTCCCGCGCAGTTGTGGAAAAAAATTGCTCAGCCGAGATCAACTGTCGTATGTATGAGACGGATGGCAATCGACGTTACGCACGCGGGGGAGACAAAGTTTTGCCAGGTTGCCATTGTCGCTACTGTTCCCTGCCGATTGAGAAGTAACACGCTTGAATTTGCTGCAAAGGATACCCAATTGTCGTACGATCGTCGAGGCAAAATGTCCAATTGAAATGTCCAATTATCGACGCGATGCGATCGCAGATGCGAAAGCCCGACGAATTAGCCTCGACGCTTGCTTCTCACACGGCTTCGGCATTGTGCGCATCCCGCGAAAATATCCCAATGGCATTCACAACCGCGCCACGGAAGTGGCGGGTTAATCACAGGTTATCGCGAAGCACAGACTCGAGCAGAGAGTTCGCTCAGCACGCGTCGCGAACTTTGCGAACAATAATTTGCCGCTTGCGCGAGCGAATCTGCCCGTCAGGGTGCAGTCCTCGAATTTATGCCGCGTAATCTCGTATGTGGTACCTACTTGCAGAGAGTCGAAGCGAAGACCTACCATCTGCACACGCACGCAGACCTGATTGTCTCTCTCCTCGAGATAATGTAGCCGAGGATCGAGAGCGTGCGCGCATCCTGAGGCGCGCGCGCGAAAGATCGGCGGGCGTAGTCGCGGTGCAATTAAAACTTTGCGCGCGAGCTCGCGGGTTTACTTTTAACGTCTTTACCGACGAGCTCTGACTCTCTCGCCCCGACGATACTCTCGCTCGGAGAGACGAGCAGTCTGGTGTAAGTAAGTGCGAAGTCTGATGCAAGTCTCCGTCACGCACGTGCGAGCTGCTCAGCCGTCTCCACACCTGCCGTCGCGCTCGGCAGCCTGATACCTCTCTCTCGATGGCGCGACTCGTGTCGCGGTCTTGTGTCATTCGTTAGTGCAATAAATAAATATGCATTTTTTTCTCCTCGTATATCTCGTATATCCCGCTCTCGTTGCAGCGCTTCCAATAACTGTTACACGCGTGGGCCGGGGGGAACGTGACACGTGAGGTCGGGAGAATTACACGAGAGTAACCGGGGAATCCGGGGAGATCGCCAGAGAGAAGGTGACGGTGGGCGAACAATGGGAGGGAAAAAAAAATCGAGAGAAAACCAAGAAGAACGGGAGGACGGAAGGAGAAGTGTGAAACGAAACAAAATCTGCAGGCGGGATCCGACACTTTGTTACCACGCTGATACTGAGAGGAGACGGTTGACAGGGAAATAAATAATACGAGTTATCACAAAGAAATGCAGTTTATTTACCACACCAACAAACTGACGCAAACCTAATCTCTAAAGAGAGAGAGATAGAGAGAGAGAGAGAGAGAGAGAGAGAGAGAGTGAGAGAGAGAAAAAGAGAGAGAACGAGCGAGAGAAAGAGAGCGCGAGAAAGAGAGTAAAAAAAGAAAGAAGTCACGACGAGAACGCGGCGTGCTTGCGACGGCGGCGGCGCCACGTGGCGATGACACCTGGATGACACGTGCGGTCGCCGCCGCCAATCGTTTCTCGCTGCCTCTTTCGGAACGGGGACGGCTTTGAAAGCTCGGCTCGCGAGAAAGCGCGACTCTCAAGACCGCTCGGCGTGAATGTGAGAAACACGAAGCGAGGTGCTTGAGCAATGCGGGGGTTTTACATGCCGCGGATCTCAACGTAGGAACGATGGCGCGCTGGCCGTACATACGACTATCACAATGTGTAAAATGCAATATTCACGATATAGCGTTTTGCAGGTGGGTGGCTATGCACGTTCATCAACGTGATCCGTCAATCTCGTCCGCGTCGGCGTCCGGCGGAAACGACGGACTCCTTCGGCCGCGCGAGAAGCGGTCTCGTTTCGACCGGACACGCCCGCTCTTCTCTCTCCCCGTCGTCGTCGTTACCTGTCGTCGTCATTTGTCCGCGTTTCTAAAACTTCCACGCGCTTCGACTATGGTGGCGACCTGTCGTTCACCCCCTGACAGCGGAATGCTCGAATCGGGAGGTTAATCCGGAATCCGGTTGAGATGAATTCGCATTAACCGGATCCGCGCGATCCAATCAGCGTCGCGCGCGGCTTGACGGAAAGGGGAACGAGCGAAAATTCGAAAATTCATCTTCTCAGAAGGGATCGGACGATCTCGAAAATCCAGCAGAAACTTAGACTCGGTCGCCCCGCGACCCGTCGTCGATCAGGTCGATTCACGAGTTGCGCTCGACGGTGAAGTTACGGTTTCCGACGAATCCCGGAACGCGGAACAATGTGGAGCGACTGCCGTCTCTCCCGGCGCGAACTTCTTTCCGCGAGGAGCAGCTACCGGAAGCGAGTGCTCCACCGGAAGATCGCCGCGTCGTCATCCATGCGCCTGCGGCGCAGTCTCTCGTCGCAGTGTCTGTGCTCGTGTAAAAGTCCACTGTCGTTAACACCGACAACCGAGACAACGCTAGAAAGAGAGAGAGAGAGAGAGAGAGAGAGAGAGAGAGAGAGGAGAGGGGAGGACGGAGGAAAGGAGAAGACAAATAATGAACGAAAACAGGAGGAAGGCAGAAAGACAGGACACTTGATGGGAGCCGTACGCGCCTGCGGACAGAGATTACCACGGATTACAGGATGAGGTTCATTAGAACGCTGTAACACAGTACGGACACACAGAAGACGGTGGTTACCATTTGCACCGGTATACTGATATTGCCACCGGGCGGTCCCTCGTGCTCGCCGGGCGACTCGGTGCCCTTTAGGTGGGTAGCGTTTGCGAGTAACGCGCAGTTCTCCATGTTTCTTTTCATTAGGAGACTGGTCGCTTGGGAACGAATCGCGCTCGTGGCGTTCTCCGCGCTCCCGCGCTCCTCCGAATCTTCGCTGACGACGTCCTCGTCCTCGTCGTCGTCGTCGTCGTCGTCGTCGTCGTCGTCGTCTTCATCGTCTTGATCGGCTTCATCTTCGTCTTCATCTTCGTCGTCGAGTACCACCCAACCGTTCTCGTCGATGCTGCTCATGTTATCTCGGTCTGTCTCATGATCCACTTGGCCATCAGCGTCGATCTCAGCTGCCAGCCTTCGGTCGGAGGACGCTTCGATCGGCGAGGTCGCGCGGTCAGACTCGCTCTCAGACTCGTCGGACACCAGCCAGCCATTGTTGCCGAGGCTGCTCTGCCTGTACACGCGACTCCTCGGCGGGAGGGTCTCCTCGGATGCTCGTCGTTCGCTCGAGGGAGCCGTCTCGGCGTCGAGATTGCTCGAGACTGCCTCGTCCGGTCTGCACTCAGCGCTTTTGGGAATGGCTTCCTCCGGACGAGTCCCAGCTGCGTCGCTGGCCTCGCCGGCGGTGTCTTCAGTCTGTCGTCGATCGGCCGGCCGATCGCTGGAATCGTTCGCGGGTTCGAAACCCGGCAGGATCGCGGACACGGTGCGCACGTCGCTCTGCAGGTCCTGCTCGGTGATGACCCAGCCGTTGTCGTCGAACATCTCCTCGATACTCCTCTCGTCGATGATCGAGGCGCTGCGGCGCTTCAGGTCCCTCTCGTAGCGCACGTCGTCCGATTGCGTTACACTGCTGTCGGCTCGGGTGTTGGAGTCGACGCTCAACACCGTGGCTTCGCCGTCGGTGTCGGAGGAGTTCGAGGAACCTTCGTTCCCTCTGTACTCGGCATCGTTCGTCCCCTTCGAGTTCTTGCGCTCCTTCTCCTTGTCCTCTTTCTTCTCCGTCTTCAAGTTGCAATTCTCATCCCGAGAACCGTCGTCCTCGTTCTCGTCCTCGTTCTCTTCCTCCTCTTCCTCGTCCTCGTCCTCGTCCTCCGAGCCGCTCTCAGAACCGCTCTCCGACTCGCTGTCGGACATGGTCCGGCCGCTCACGGAACTCGAGCTCTCGGACATTCCTTGGGACTCTTTGGACTTGGACCGGTCTCTGCGCTGGTCGATCGCCTCGGCCGATAGACTCGAGAGGTCCGACGCGGACCGCTCGACGACAATCGCGTTTCTCGCCAAGTCCTCCGCTGCTCGCGAACCCGGCGTGTCCTCGGACTCGGGCATGACGGTGTCGCGCGTTCTCGTTGCGGAGTCATCGACCACGATGATGCAAGTGGACCCGTACCGGTCGTGTCCGGTCAGCAACGAGACCTCATCGTCTCCTGAACGACCGTCCGCTAGCGCGTCGTCTTCGGCCACGCTCGCAACTCGACTACCGCGGCTACCTTCCATGAGACTTTCGGGGCTAATCGCGAGGTGGGAGGAGGATGAGGTGGTCGATTTGTTGTCGGTGTCCGTAATAGCGTCCGTAATTTGCGGGGTAGTGTTCGTCGGTGGCGGTTTAACAACCTGCCTCAGTACGTCCCCGTTGTCGGCATTAAAAGCGTAATCCGCGATTGTAGTGGTGGTAATGGTATTGATAGTAGTAGTAGTAGTATTGGTAGTAGTAGTAGTAGTAGTAGTAGTAGTAGTAGTAATAGTAGTAGCCGCGATTACTATATCGTCTTCGACGCGATCGGCCGACCTTACGTCGGTACGGTCACTAAACGTCCTAAAACGATGACAGTCGAGGGGGTTACTGGAATTATTAAAACTGGCCTCATCGTGAGCCTGACCGTCAACTACGTGCTGAGCTACGAACCTGCTGGTGTAACCGCCCGGCGTGGTCGTCGGCGTCGTGACGCCAACGCCAACGCCAACGCCAATGCCACCGATGCCGCCACCGCCGCCGCCGCCCGGGCTCGTCATCGTCGTCATCGTCGTCGTCGGGCTCGTCACGGAATGCGCGGGGCTCCCTCTCGGCGACGAATACCTGAGACACGAGTGAACGATCGGACTTTCTCTCTTGGGACTCTCTCTCTCTCTCTCTCTCTCTAATTACGCTACTACTACTTCTAAAGGAGCGCGGGGGAGGGGGATGTTTACCCGAACTCGCGCTAGCTTCACCCTGATTACGCGCCCACGTGGACGCGACACGCCGCTCGATCAATGTTTCTTTTTCTTCCCGTCTCTTCACTCCTCCTTTATTTTGTTCTCCCGAGGAAGACTCTCGTGCGTGTCACGTTGTCCCGGCCTGTTCGGGAAACTTATTACGCATCCTCTCTCTCTCTCTCTCTCTCTCTCTCTCTCTCTTTTCCTCCCTCTCCCTCTCTAGGCTTGGGATCAGGTCGCGAGCTTGCGCGATTAATGAGCTCTTGTGATCCTACTTTACTTCCAGCCGGTCGCGCTTCCGAGGTTCTCCGAGTTTCATCGCAAGTTGCATCAAGGATATTCTTTCTCGTGTCATGCGAATAACAACCGCGGTTTCTCGTCGACACGCGACCTGCTGCGCTCAATTATCCGAGCCGCGTGCGCGCGCGCGCGCGCGCTCATCGAGTTTGAGGCTGGCCGACGAACGAGCGAGGGCAGAGTGACAGCACGGTATTGATCCCAAGATTCAACAAAGACTATGATCGACGGGCTCACTGACCACGCGCCGTTCCGCTAAACTCGCTCGTCGAATTCCCGCGCGTCCTAATATTATAATTCATCGCCAGGCTGAACGGCTAATCAGTTCCCGCAGCGGTACGTGCAGAGTTTCTGATAGCAGCGCGCGATGTGGAACCGGCCACGTGATTCTTTTACAAAAGCCAACGAGAGTCGCGGCCCAGCCGGCCGGGAGGCATTTACCGAGCCCGCCCGCTCTCTCCCTCTTCCCATTCTCTCTCTCTCTCTCTCTCTCTCTCTCTCTCTCTCTCTCTCGGTCTCCCTCCCGCTTTTCCTTATTTCTCGTTCTGCTTCCACCGACCGTTCCTCTCGTTTCCTTCACCCAGGCTCGAGAGCGAGAGCTAGAGCGTGAGAGCGTCGGGGAGAGCTCGCTTGGAAATTCGGCGCGAGTGTGCGCGGCAACTGCCGTATGCGGCGGAGGAGCGTCGGGGATACGTGGCGAGCGGTCCCGTTGCATGTAATGAGAGCGCGGGTAAACGCGGGAAAACTCTAAGCTAGGCGGTAATTCCTCGGGGGAGGGAAAACGCGCTATTCGCTGGGGACACGTCCGAAGAAAACTGCCTCTGACGCGTCAAGTGTACTTCCATCGGCCGGGATATCGACAGAAGAGGAGGACGAGCAGCGACACGAGGAGGATCACGAGAGGAACCGCAGCTTTCCGTCTCTCTCGCTCGCCGACGGATTCGTCCCGATAAATCAGAGATACTTGCCTGGTGGAAGGCGAGTCCTCCTTGCTGCCCCTCCTGGCCTCGGCGCTGCGAGCGAGCAGAGGTCCTATATCGGTGCGCGCCATGGCGGACTCGTTCCTCTGACGATCCTGAGGCACAGCGGAGGTTGACGATGGAGCGGTGTTGGACGGATGGTGAACGTCCGTTTCCGACTCCTCCTCGGTGTCCGACTCGGTCTCCTCGGACGAGCTGCTCGTCTCCTCATCGTCGTCATCCTCTTCTTCCTTCTTCTTCGCAGCCGCCGGCTCTTCTCGCGACGTTTGGATCGGTGGTGGCGGGGCCGCTCGGTTACCTGAAGACAGACGAGCTTCGACGTGAGCTTCGACCTTCAAGCGCGACTCCCCCTCCCCCGTCTATCCCAAGAGTCTAAAAGTCTAAAGAGCGAACTCCCAAATCGCGCAAGGATTTCCCGACGTCGCAGTCGACGCTGATTGATTGACGCTCCGACACGAGTGTTCTTCATGATGTACTCAAGAAGGAGATTACGACATGTTCCAACAAGGAGAATCGGCTTTTGCGTTCAGCTCGAACAAACGGCGGGTGTACCCGTCGCGTTAAGCGCATTTGCGTAAATTCCAGCTGCAGGGAAGTGTGTGTGTGTGTGTGTGTGTGTGTGTGTATGGATTCACGCCTACACGTGATCGCGGCTGACGGGAACACGATGAGAAAGCTGGCCGATCATATCGACTGACTCGACGGTGGCGACCAGGAGAGAGAGAGAGAGAGAGAGAGAGAGAGAGAGAGAGAGAACGGCCCGACGCGAATATCACCACGTCCGCGTGTTCCGTCGTAGACGAAACACGTCGCCCCCGACTTAACACGTGGGCGCGGGATGTGACGTGAGCCGGTACGTCGGAAAAGCAGACCGACAGCGCTTAACACTTTGACGTCCGCAATGTGTGACCAAGATTTTTTTGTCTGGCGCCGGTAGGCGCTCGTGTAGATCCTACCGCCTGTCACCGGCGTTTTTCGAGAGATGTCGTAAAATGTCTTGTTTTACTAATCTCAATATCAATATTTAATATCAATATCTCAATATCTCGGCATTTGTTCGATAGCTTTACACGCCGCGACACCAACGTGGTGTCAGCGGCGTTTGTTCGATAATTTTGCACGCGGCACCAACGTAGTGTCACCGGCATTTGCGTGAAAATTTTCACATGACACCAAAGTGGTGCCACCGGACGGCATAGTGTTAACTAAGAGCGCTGAATGCGTAATGCAATTACCGCGACGGCGCGGCGCGCCGCTCTTGCCGCTGCCAATTTCAGCCTTCGAATCTGAAGTATCGCCCCCCCTCTCTCTCTCTCTCTCTCTCTCTCTCTCTCTCTCTCTCTCTGTGTCGCTCGCGCCTGGAGTGTCGCACCGTTTGCGCGCCGCTGCGAATTGCAACGCGTTGTAGCACGAATGTAGCCGCTACGTGCAGCTGCATTTTACGCGCGCACGAGATTAGCGCGCGCTCGCGGAGATTCGCGATCGAATTCGTGGAACACCTCTCACGCGAAACGCGACGACCACCCCGTCCGCTTTGTACTCGCACGCGCTCCGCTCTTCTTCGCGTTTCGACGCGCTTATCCTTTCCTTTCTCGTCTCAGAGGGACATTCGCAGCGGGCACATCGAGGAGCCGTGCGCACGACGTTAATTGTAATTAACGTGCAATTTCCCGCGGAAGTTACTGCGATTCATACAAAGGACTTGCGATCTGCCATCGCAATTGCTGAGATTTACGCAGCGATGCTCTTTATATTTTTTCACGGAGTGCTGAGTGAAGCCGGAAAGAATGGAGAGAGAGAGAGAGAGAGAGAGAGAGAGACACACTCGCCTGTCCCGGCGGAGAGCGCGTTTCTTCGCAAAGAAATGTCACCTCGCCCCGAGCGCCTCGGTGGTTCTCTTCCGGTGTCAAGTATCTTTCCGTTTGTTTTACATCGCGTCATGTATTGCTCGCTAGATGTATCTCGGTATCGCGCTGTCGTGGATACTCGAGGAGGAGGAGGAGGGAGACAGTCCCCCGTCCCCCCTGCCCCTCCCCGTGCGGGTAAAGGACAGCCGAATTGGGGGGCGAAAGATTAGACGCAAATTTGCCCGTACACCCATTCAATTACCGCGAGGCGCGCTCGACAGGAGGACTGTGAAGTACAATGGAGGCTAGAAACAGAGGATTGGCGTGCGGGAAGCGAGCAGAGACGCGCGCTTTCGATACCCTTCGTGGTAAACAATAGGTAATAGAGGCACCAGCGGAAATTGGGACGTGCCGCGGATAGAGCTCTCTCAGTTACGGGCGTTATACGTAAAAGGGTCTCAAAACCTCGATTACTATCCGGCTGCATTGTTCCCGCTAATTCTATATGACGTGTGCACGAGGACCGGATGCGGCGCGCAGGAAGTTGGCAAGCTGCGAGAAACACGCTCTCGTCACGTTTTTCCCCGCGCTTTCGCGCTTAGATCGTTTATTATATTTTTCGGCTTTTACGGCGGAAAAGGCCGGAAGATAGGCGGGAGATATTTCTCGGCGGGACAAAAATATCCACCGACGCGAAATCAAGAGCACAAGAGCGCGCGCGCGCTTTATCGCATCGGAAATTCGCGACATTAATTAAATTAACAATTCCAATAATTTTAATAGAGACAGGCGCGCGCGGAAATTGTTTGGCTTTGAATTTATAAACAATACTCGCACAAATGTCTCGGCCAGAATTCCTACGCCGGCGGGACAAATTTCGAATTCCCATTTCGCTGTGTCGATATTCCATCGTTTCCCTTCATTCCCTTCGCCCTTCGCTTCCGCAAGCGTCGTATCGTCGCTCGCAAGCACCGAGAGAGCCCGCTACCGTTAATTACGTTAATTAGAGTACTCATTACCTGCGCCTAAAAAACGGCTCTGGAACGGCCTCGGCGTCGGCGTGGTGGTATTGGCCGAGTCCCTGCCGGCGGTGGTGGTGGACACAGGCGGCCCGGTCGACACGGTGGTGGTGGTAGTGTTGGTCGGCGGCGCCCTCGACAGGTACTTCTGCTTCATCTCCTCGGCCGTGAAGGGCGCGCCCGTATTGCGGATCCCCGAGCCGGTCGAACTCTCGGAGCCGGTGCTCGAGTCCGACGAGGCGCTCCTAGCCGCGGGGGGAGCGTGAGTTTCCGCCGAAGTTCTCCTGCGAGCAACGATATTACAAACAACCCGCGTTAATAACACAGGGGAACTCAAGCAAGTTACTTGCTCGCGCCGGCGCGAGCAACGTATACGAGCGATGTACGAACTCCGTCGCTAAGTCCGACGCTGGCCCGGGAGGAGGGGGGGGGGGGCGAGAAGCGCCCGCCGGCCAACCGGACGCCTGCCGCTTGCAAATCTCGCGGTTACCGCGAGAGACGTGATTAATATCCGCGCGAGCAAACGCGTCCCTTCGGCCTTTCGTTCCCTCCGGGAGACACGAATCCGAGTTTATCATCGCGCGCTCGTTGAGGGAGCCGGCCGGCCGGCCGGCCGGCTGGCCGGGGCGAGTAAGAGTGTTTTCACTTGGGATTCCCGGGCGAACGACGTCATATCCGAGCCGCGGGGTCTCGGGGTGTACGCGCGTCGTCGGTGGATTAATCGGGCCAACCGTTCCGCCTTGAAGCGACTCTCACATTTCGCCCAATTACCTACCGATCGATCTCCGTCGTCGTTTCTCAGCGGCGTTATTTATTCCCTTTTCCCTCGCTCTTTTTCTACGCGCACGATCTTCCTAACTCGTGAATCGGCCACCTCGACGAGAGTCCTCCCCGACGACCGAGACGGGCATTTGAGAGTAGGACCCGAGTAGGACACGAGTTCGACACGTCCGACCAAACTTTCGTACGCGCGCGCGCGCGGTCGATTTGGCCGTCGCGATCTCACGAGTTTACCTGGCGATAGCCGGCCGCCTGACCGGCTCTTCGACTTCCCGCTCTGGGAGCTCTCTCGGTGGCGGATGGACCGGAGCAGCGGGCGCCGTCGGCTGTCTCTCCTCTACCATGTCGGCGTGGCCGGCCGTCGCGGCGTTCTTGTTCTGCTTCTTGATCCTCGAGATCTCGTCGTCCTCGCTGGTCTGCCTCGCCATCGCGCTCGGTACCTTTCTCACTTGCACCTGCGCGTCAAAAAGCAATCAGTCACAAGGAATGTCGCGATTCCCGCCCCGTTGCCGCTCCGTTCGCGCCAACTACCTGTCCTCCTCCCCGAGCAACAATCTCTTTCCACGGACTCCCGGGGAGTGCGAGGAGTTTACGATCGAGAGTCACGCTCGCGATTTATCGCGGCTCGAGACGAGACGAGACCGGCAGGTGCATTTGAATGCACATTAGGACGCGCGGCGTGCAGCGCGCGATTGACGCGTCGTAACCGTAACAGCGCGTCGTAAGCGGCCGCGCGTGAGATGCGGGATCAAGTGGGTGGTGTGTAATGACGAAAACCCGACGAAAAGTGCAAAACCGTGTATTGTTATTTTTTCACATTCGCAGCGCTTCATACAAGATACAATGTCTGAGAGCAGGCGAACTCTTATACTCGGAGGTATATATATATATATATATATATAGACAGACAGACAGACAGACAGATACATTAGCCTCTCGCAATTGTCTACATCCTACGGATTTATGTACACACGTATTATCCTACACACTGTTGGCCAACTACTACTGGCAATTTGCGGGAAACTGTATCATAGAAAAGTAACGCTACGCAAAATCCGCATATTGAGCCCTGCGCTCGGTCGAGCATTCGCGTGATACTCGTCGTCGACGTCGTGTCATCGGCTATTGGAAGAGACGCGGTCCCCGCCGGTCTCTCGCGGGGGAGACCGATACTGTATTTTTTGTACGTTCATTGAGCTTTCGTCTCGCTTCTTTTCGTATCTCTCTCTCTCTCTCTCTCTCTCTCCCTCTCTCTCTCTCTCTACTAAACATCAGTCGCAATCATCCGAACAATGGGATGCGCGTGATCGAACATATTTCGTTTCGTTGGCACCGGCCGGTCACACAGCACATGGTGAGTTCGATCCCCATCCGTTTATTTCTCCCGCCATAATAAGGGATTCCTTGCGCGAAAGTGCGGAGGTGTATCACTGTCAAAAACAAATACGATGTCGTCAAATTCACGCACGTCCAATCGAGTCGTGTGCTTAATTAATTAACGAGCGCCCGTCAGCTCGCGCTCGCGCGGCCGAGACTCTCGCGCGGCTGAAACTCGGGACTCGCGTGCCCGAGAACGTCGCTGTCAGGGGCAAGGGGAGAGGTCGGTCTCTTACGAAAAATAAAATTTCTCTCGCGAAAAAGAGGCACGGAAGATCGCGTGGAGAGACTCGCCGCACTCGGCCGGCGATATCTTCCTTCTTCTTCCGGCGCGCGCGATTCGCGTCGTCCGAGTATCCGATCGACGCAGTCGACATCGTTCTCCTTGCGCCCCCCGTAAAACTGCACGCGAGGTTGAAACCGCGGCGTTAATTGGGCAAAACGCAGCTCGTAAATTGACTCGTATCATCGACATCCAGCCATTTAAATACCGATGCAACCGCGATGACGTAGCAACCAAGCGTGCACGGCATATCGATATAAGCAGGCGCGCGGCAATTAAATTCGTCGAAGCACCGCCGTGCGTGCCGCGCGCCGCCGTTGGAATGTGTATATGTGTGTGTGCGTGCGTGCTTGCGTGTACAGAGCTTTCCGGCAACTAGAAAGAAAAAGCCGCACCTGCGCGTCAACGTGCGCGCTCGCACGCGCTCAACTTCGAGAGGCGGCGCGCATCGCGCTGCGTCAACATTTAAAATGCGAAATGCCGAGGAGAGCAGCTCGAGTCAACGGTGAAATCGCGCGTCGAGTCCCCACTTGTGTGGACGTTTCATAATCCGCGACGGGATTTCACGTGGCGGGCGGAGAGGGGGGGGGAATATCCAGGGAATAGAGATTCCGTCTACGAAGGATCCTATAGGCGGTATTCGTATCTCTTCAATCCTTATATATAAGACCGTCTTAGATTTATCTTGAGATGCTGCGCGGACCGTTTCAATGTGTACGGAGCGGCTGAAGACGAACTTGAGACGATCTTCAATGCGAGATATCCGACTGCGAAGAAGCCCGCTCGAATGTTTTCCGTTGCTGCGCGACGCGTAAAATTGCTTGGATGAAACTTCGAGCCTGAATCGATCAATGCCCGAATTAATTAGCTCGCAATCGAGACGAGAGCTCCCGAGGATTCGTCTTTTCGAGGACGTGAATGTTGTATTATTGAAGGGGCGGAGGAGGGAGGGGGGAGGGGGCTCGATTTGCTCGAACAACTTGTTGGGAATTCTTCCGACGGCGGAAAATTCAGACGAGAAGTTCCGACGAAAAATTCAGCCGTGACTAACGCGGATCGTTCGATGCGGGCTACATTGTCCTTGCAAAGTGACCGGAGGGCGTTGAGTCGAGAATTACTCGCCGGTCGATTCGGATTCGGCGCATTTGGCCGAAAATATTTAGAGAGCCGTTGTTTTCCACGGCGTAACAACGCCTAATCAGTCGTCGTTTATTCACGGCGGCGCCGGCGGCGGCGCGGCGACGACGACGACGACGACGACGACGACGACGACGACGACGACGACGACTATGGCGAGATTTATATCCCACGTGTTTCTCGCGGCATCCTTCATCCCTCCGCTGTGATTTTACGGGCCCGAGCGCGGATGGCATACGAAATAACAAGGCATCGCAGCCCGAGGTGGTCTCGTTTATAGGTCGCGGAACCTATCGCAAGCAGTAGCTACATGTTTATGGGAGTTGCGAAAGGTAGAAGGAAGCAGATCGATATTCCCGATGTAAATCGAGCGACCTAAAGCGGAGCGGGCGAGCGCCGAGGAGGAGGGAGTTGTGCAAAGGACGGGGGAAGGGGTCTCTTATTCATACACAAGCATGAAAATATATTCTGTATGCATATGGCGAATGTGTCTTCGGATTACGTCGACTACGCTAAATTCTCATTCGACAACGCAGCAGCGGCGCGCGCGTGTAGGTCGATCTCTCTCTCTCTCTCTCTCTCTCTCTCTCTCTCTCTCTCTCTCTCTCTCTCTCTCTCTCTCTCTCTCCGTGGGGTGTAAATTTATTAATCTCCGCGCCGGTGCAGCTAATTGTCTTGCTCGTCGAACGTTAACGAGACTCGAGACCCGTCAAAATTTACGCTTCCATTCCGGGGCGCGGCCGGCGCGAAGATTCGCGAGAGCTTCGAGCTCGCGCTCGCGCGCTAAATATCTGTCCGGTCTAAAAATAATCGCGAGTGTGATCAGGAAAATTCAATATTTGCCATTAGAGTCAAGAAATATATGTTGAAGAGATACTTACCAAAAGTACAGCGATTACGTTACGCTCAAAGTCTCGTTAACGAGGCACACCGCGCTAACTCGCGACTCGTGCAAACAACGGAATTACCCGTCCCGCCGAGGATAGACGGCTGTTACTTAACTTCTCTCCGTTACTCAACATTATATACGATCGATACGTTGCGCATATCGTATCGCGACAGTGAGGGGAATCTCGGCCATCGACCGCTCACGCCGAGACAGATACGTCTCTCTCGCGTTCGTGTTACCCTCCGCGTTATCGCGTCCGAGTGCCACGGGATGTATGCCATGTTAAACGCCTAAATAGTCGACTGGACGTTCCGTGCCGGAGCGGCTCGAGGGAGGGAGAGAGAGGGAGAGGGAGAGGGGGAGAGAGAGAGACCGAGAGAGAGAGAGAGAGAGAGAGAGAGAGAGGGAGGGAGAGGGGGAGAGAGAGAGAGAGAGAGAGAGAGAGAGAGAGAGAGAGAGAGAGAGAGAGAGAGAGAGAGAGAGAGAGAGAGAGAGAGCCCGACGTGATTCATCGGATCCACTTGAAACGACGCGAGGTCGCGTCTAAATAGCGAAACTCGGCTGCTCGCGAGTGCTCGCAGAGCTCGCTTGGCCGGGCTTGCCGGCTCCGGAACGTCACGTCGAGAAGCTTCCGGAGGCGCGAGATTCTAACCTGAGGCTTGGCTGGTTGAGGCTGCTGCACCGTTGTCTGCTGGCTCGCCGGCTCCTCCTTCTTCCTCTTGCCGGCGCGCTCGCACTCCTGCAGCTTCTTCATGACCCGCGGCGAGTCCGTGAGGCGAAATATGCCGGAGAGAGGCCCGCGCGCGGCGTCCTCCGTGTCCAGGACGCGCTCGCGCAGGGCCGACGGCTCCTGCCGCTCCGACGTGAACCTCACCGTCGACCGGGAGTCGCCGTCGGAATCGTCGCCGTCGCGGTGACGCATGAATCGACTCCTGTATCGGGACTTGTTCCTCGGCACTTCGTACTCGGGCGCGTCGTACCTGATACACAACGGGGCGACGTCGATCAATTGGATTGCCGTCGACGTCGAGAAAACGGACTCTCGGCCCGGATCCGTCGGGCTCGGCTGATAGCGCGATTCCTACGACGGCGCCATCGACAATCCGCTTCCGCGACAGCACGATGGATTATGCTATAAGCGCGCTGGAATTGCTCTCGCACGCTTTCCTGAATCTCCTCTTTGATCGATCAATTTGGAAATCGGCGAACGGCCGATTGTGTTTTTACAGACTCGAAGTAGGATCTAATCGCAGGATCTCTTTCTTTCGTCGTCGCTCTAATATGCGATTGATGTATCAAAGATGGGATAACAAAATTTGATGTTAACGTTAAAAGTCCAATACGTCGTCGCTTACGATCGAACACCGTCAGGTCGTGATACAAGTAGATCAAGTCGATCGCAGGTCAGACGCGCCGTGTCGGCGTTCACTTGGGAAAGGTCGAAATTGTCCGTTTCGTCCGTCCGTAAGAAAAATCGCAAACGACGAATAAACAACTTATCGCGAAGGGATCTCGCTGAAGCACACGTGTCGTTGAGACGCGTCACTTGAAATTATGACAAGGGCCGATGACGACGAGCCCCACGAGCTGAAATGCCGATCTGCTTTATAGTCAGATTATCTCAGTTCGATTCGAGAGGACATTCCGGAGGATTGCCAGTGACAGGATGAAATGATATTAGGGGATCTCCATCTTCCAGTCCCATATCATCTCCTCCGATATTCCCTCGAAAGCTCGTCCTTTGATAGCTTCTATCAAATTTTCGCCTTATCTTTGAACCCTTTAGGTGGCAAAGCATGCTGTCGACAATAGCCTCGCGCGCGCGTGCGTCATTCTGTCCTGATAGCGAAAAAAAAAGTATGTTCACGTGCTATAAATACTTCAACATTATATGCGTATACCGTCGTATTTTTATGTGTGTATGTGTGTGTGTGTGACGCAGAAATTGCGAGTTAAAAATATCGAAGCCTCTCGATCAAGGGTTAACAATATTTTCGCGTCGATCAATCACACGGCGGCAACGATAGCGATGGATTTATCTTTGCGTTATTCAACGATTTAACGAACAACTGAATAAAGCGTCGAATCACACGCTTTTACCCAGTCGGCCTAAAAAATATAGGAAATCCATACGCTGTTTTCCGTCCCACTTTTCTTTTTGTCTCGCGGTCGCTAAGTCGCGAAAAACGACGGTTCGCTCAATCGACTCGCGAGAATCGCGTGATATCCGCGGGATTGGCCGCATCGTTAGCCGGAAAATCGATAAACCAGCGAAACACCGGCCGGAATATATTTCCATTTGGCGCGAGGGAGAAAGGGAGAAAACGGACCGTGTCCGAAACCGCGGAAAAATCGGCGCGGTATGCGCCCGGTCTTTTAATCGAGGCCGGCTCAAACCGTCAGCGATCCGTCGGAAGAATTGCAATAACGCGTTCCCCGAAATCCTCCCTGTGTGAGGGAAGTAACCTCGTTGGCGGATCGCAATAAAATCCGTCCGCGAAGCGAATGGTCGAAGATAAATAATTAGACGGCCGGCTTTGAGAGTTGACGGCTTTCCGGATCCCGGGGGGTGCCGTTATTAAAAAACTTTATGTTCCAAGGTGTCTCGCATTTTTCCAGCGGGAGAGGGATAGACAGACAAACAGACGAGGGAGATGGTGAGAGAAAGAGAGCTCGCTACGAGGATCGCGAATTATTCTTTTTTTATCACCGTTTCATTGGAGCGTAAAACGAAAACTCCGCTCCATACGCGATCCCGAACACCCCGTTTCGCCCCTTTCTCCCCCGATTGTACACCGCGATTACAAAAAAACACGACGTGAAAACGAAATACAACGGGCGCGCGCGCGCGCCTACTACTCTTGATTCGTTTTAATCCACCTATCTGTCTGCACTCACACGCTATTTACAACTTCGAATAATATCGATTTCAGGCAGTTGACCGTTTAGCTACATTTCCGCGATACGATATCGGGCATCGTCACGCTCCAAAACGCTGGCAAGAGCACGTCGGCAGCGGCGTTGACGGCTATTCGCGACGGGCATAGTTTCGGCTTTTCACGCTGCGCGATCAACAAAAAAAGATACATAGAGAGAGAGAGAGAGAGAGAGAGAGAGAGAGAGAGAGAGAGAGAGAGAGAGAGAGAGAGAGAGAGAGAGAGAGATGGAGGGGTGGAAGGAAAAAACATATACGCACAGAGAACAAATGGAAGGCAGGCAATCGTGCGCTCCCCTTTCCCGAACGAAAATGGTGGAAAACGTACGGATAATCGAATTTTCGCCGTGAATATCGCAAGGCGAGTGTCAAAAATAAATAGCGCGCCGTTACCGCGTCGCGAAAGCACCGGGAACACGCGCTTGTCGCCGGTGTAGATGCGATTTCCCCGCGGGCCGCGCGCGATCCGCAAGCCAGAGCACGAGCGGCCGACAAATTGATGAGACCTCCGCGGCGAATAATCGTATTTTCTCTAATAATCGCGCGCACACCTATCACGACTGCCGCGCGTAATTATATAACAAACAGAACAGACGGCACGAGCGCGAGCGATCGAGCGCGGGGCTTGAATGTGAGGCGGAGAGGGGGAGAAGGATGAGGGAGGTCGCGATCCCCGCGCGTGAAATAGGTCTTTGCAGTCCGCGAGCGTTAATTACTAAAAAGTACGTGCTAGCGCGTACCTAAAGCATTTAATTTACATTTTGACGAGGCCGCTTAATAAAACGCTCCGGCGCGAGTGGGCTCTAACGACTAGCATTGCGCGAAACAGCCAGCAATTAAAGCCGACGCGCCTATTCCGGAGAGTTGAAGGTACCTTTGAGTCAGAATAGACGAGAGGAATTGAGAAAGAGGTGCGACGTGCGAAGAGCAGCACGGGAGAACGACCAGGGAGGGAGAAAAAGAGAGAGAGAGAGAGAGAGAAAGAGTGAGAGACAGAAAGGGGGGAGAGAGCGACGGCAAAACTACAACACATTTATTTATAACTTATACCGAAATAGAGACATACGGAACGTTTCGAAAAATCCGCGCGGTCCTCCCGCTCGACGCTCGAGTCGACACGAGAAGTTTCAAAGCGCAACGTAATTTCCGTCGCTCGAACTTTTCAGCCGCGCGCCGGTGAGCGGAAGAACGGACCACAAGAGCAGCCCGATCGGAAATCGCGAGTCGCCGATTGAACGCGCACCTTTCAACGGCGCCTCGGATTTAATTAATTACGACGTGCAACCCTCCCGGCGTGCTCTCGACGCGGCCCGGTCTCGATCGCGATTAATATTATTAATATTCTTTCCCGGCGAGAAGCGCGTCTCGTTGACGGAAATTTCATAATTAAAACGCGCTGTTTCTCCCAACAGCCGCGTGTCGTTTGTAAAATTATAATAGACATGTAAACGACACCTTTGCATAGAAATACAGTTTAGCGGCGCGACGGGAAGCCGTGATTGGAAAAACATCAGCGCGAGGATCGCGCGAGATCCGAGAGATGCGCGGCGGCCGATGATGCGGATGAGAATTTGTATGCGTGCGAGCAAAGGAAGAGAGGAGGCGGAAGGTGTAACGTTCGATTAAAGATAGCGGGCGAATTAGTCCGATTAGCCGAAATGCAATCGCAAATACGTTCCCGTGAGCGAGACTGCAGGCGGAACGACGGGCTGCGTACCAATCATCGCCGCCCGTCGATCGGATGGCATTCCACCTGTGTCGTTTATCCGTCGCGCGGAATATTAATATCTTCCATTATTCGCGCGCGCGTGTTATCCGGCCCGATCTGCGCCTCGTCGCACCTTCGCGACGAGAGACACAACGAAACGTCACGGAGACGAGTAGAAATACTCTCGCGCGACGGGCACGCGCTTGTTCGCGAGTCATCCGACGAGTTTATCATTTCGTGGCACACGCCTTCTCTCGCAAATAAGGCCGCTCGCGCGAGGTCGCTGCGACGACTGATTTATCGTTTCGAAAAAAAACAGAAAAAAACCCGAATTTCGCCGCCATAAATTCGAGGAGACGTATCCCGGCCTTGCGGCCTCGATCTTCCCCGGCCCTGTGATCCTGCGAAGACACCTCGGGTCTTTGTCGACTGTCTTGCAGTGATCAACCGGCCCGCCCCTCTCGCCCCCGTCGCTGAAGTGCACGGGATAAATTGATCGCTTTGATAAGTGGCGGGAGAAATGCTCCGGCCGGCAATTTTTCCAATCCGATTAAGTCGCGCCACCGAGGTTGAGGTTGAAGTTTACACGAGTAGCTTCTTCGAGGAACAAGGAGAAGACGGATCTCCATTTCTCTCCCATCACAACACGATACTACTCGCGACGTTCTGTATTTTTGCGATTTTTCACATGACCGGCGCGATAAATATTACTTTTCAAGCCTTGATCACCATTAAGCTCCATTGAAGGTTGTAATTTTTCTATCTTTTCCTCGAGCAGTCTCAACTATTTTTTGTCTACACTAGGAAAAATGTATTGTTGCGTGAAGCAAAATTTTGTTGTAACAACAAAATAATTTGGTTAAAATATGCCCAACAAAACTGTTTAGTTCCTGTAAACAAATATCTTGTTTGATTACGGTTTGTTCGTATAACATAATACTTTTGTTATAGCAACCAAAAAGCTTCAACTATATGAATTTTGTTAAAAATACTGTAATTTTTTCTTAATATATAAAATCTAAATTTTAGTGCACAGAAAGACAAAATAGTATCCATTGGGCATTATTTTAGTTTATGTAAAATAATATTTCGTTATTATGTAATTCTTATGGATAAAATAACTAAAATGCTTAATTTTTACATATAAAGTCCAAGAACAAAATTATTTGGTCCAGAGAACAAAGCAGAAATATATATTTAATTGAGACAACAAAATATTTTGTTATATAAAACAAGATATTTGGTTGCTATTAAAAAATGCCTCAACTAAACAGTTTTGTTAGAGATACTAAATTTCTTTTCCTAGCATAGTTTGATATTTCATGAATCCTCTGGTGGACATCTCTCAAGGAGAACAAAGAGAAAAAGTTGATTCGTCTTCCTCCAGAGAATAAATTAACTCTCTAATCCAGTCGATACCACGACAGCCTATGAACGGTTAAAAAAGTTCCCACCGTTTTCTTACGCATCGACCTGTTGGTCTGAAGGAAGCGAGAGCAGCACGACGACGTTCTTGAGGCGACCTTGTCGTGCGCAATGTGACGAGAAGCAAATCAAGTCTTAGTCCGTGCCGTGAAAACAGTTACGACTCTACGAAATGTCTCGCGCATGACTGAGTTCAATATCGCAACCGTTAATTTAATACCGAACTCGAAGCGAGGTCAGCACTTAGAAAACACGGGCGGGAATGAGAAAGGGGTTCCCTGAGAAGCGGCCTCAGTTAATCCTCGCGCAACGCAGCGAGCGGGCGCGCACACACACACAGTTTACGCGCGTGGCGCGGAAAAACGATCGGTCGATTTTGTCCGCTGCGATCCCGGCGAGAACGACACCGGGATACTCGGGCATAGCCGAGAAATAACGGGGGACGTAAAAGGGAAACGATAGTTACTCGTATTCCGGCACGTATCGATTCCTGGCCAGTCGTTCCTCCTCCTGCTGCCTGTATTGCGAGGCGAGACGGTGATCGCTCTTGCTCCTCATGAGGCCGGGCGAGCCTCCAGGTGGGGCTAAACTGCTGGAGCTGCCCAGCAATCCGCCGCTCCCGCTCTCGGGTTTAATGTTCAGTTCGCCGTAACCCGCCACATGTAGGACAAGCTGATTCGGATCGTGCGCCATCACGAAGCGGACACGCCGGCTGTAATCCCCCGCTTCGTACTCGAAGTTCCTGCAAAGGACAATCGTTCATCTTGGCGCGCTCACCGAGGCGCGACAGCGCTCCACGCTGTCTAATCGCACCGGCTAAATCTTGGGGGAGCGTTCACAGCGGGAAGAAGGGACGAAAAAATAAATTAACGCGAGAGAGAGAGAGAGAGAGAGAGAGAGAGAAAGAGCGGGAGGGATGGAGAAAGAAAAGGAGAGAGATCGTGTCGCGCAAGGGGAAGTTTCGGAAATGAAACCGCGACCGAAAGCACGCAATTTCAATTTCCGCATTACGCTAACAAAAACGAGCGGCCGCAACGCCGAATCGCTCACGAGAAAGGACGCGCGCGATTAATTTCAATTAAACGCGTTTTCACCGCGCGCGTGTTCTCCGACGACAGAAAAAGAGATAGAGACAGAGACAGAGACAGACAGACAGAGAGAGAGAGAGAGAGAGAGAGAGAGAGAGAGAGAGAGAGAGAGAGAGAGAGAGAGAGAGAGAAAGAGAGAGAGAGAGAGAGAGAGGAAGACCGGAATACCGAAACCCGTCGCCGAGCGGCACCGTCCATCCGTCCGCCTAGCACCGACCGTATCTACTTGGTCGGGATTTCGGCGGCGACGCCTCTATTTAAATAATACATCGGGGAGGATTACGCAAGCGCGCGTGCGGTTCCAGCGCGAGCTTTTAAAGTTCACCGCACCGTTAATTTAGCGTATTAATTATCAATGAAGCGTGCGCTCTCTCTCTGTCTGTCTTTCTCTCTCTCTCTCTCTCTCTCTCTCTCTTTCTCTCTCTCCGCGAAGGCACCATGGACATGGACACCTCAGGCATGTTTCATCGGGCGAGCGCGCGAAAACGCAAACATCTCGCGTTTTCACGCGATACCGCCACCTGTGGGCGCACATACATTAAATCGCGATTAAATCGTACCTGCTCACAACGGACAAATTTTGTCGCGCGCGATGTCTGTCTGTCTGTAATTCGGCCGCGAGGCGAGTGCAAATTTCGCCCCAGTGTTACATATTGGACGGCGCATGCGGTAACGTCGAATGTTAATTACATTACGGAGTTATCATAGGATTTACGCCGCGCTTTCACAATGCTATTAACACAAATCTCCGTAGGAATTCATGTAGCCGATATCGGGCTACCCGTATCGACGGCGCGGCGCGCGCGCGAATTACGATCCCTTCTACTCCTCTTTTTGCGCTTTGGGATTATCGCCGCGCCTTTCCCTCCGTTCTTTTTTCTTTCTCTTTTTATCTCCTACGCTACGTGAAACATCTTTCAAGGTTAATTTTGCCAGAATCGACCACGAGAAGTATCTAATTTATACGGGCGACCCCGTTTGCTCGCAAAACGTCAAATTTAGCCACAGCGAAGCTCGCTGCTCATTAAATCATGAAACCGTCGCGATTGCAAAGACTACCTTCGTATTATATTCTTATCTATCAGATAAGGTATGATGATAAAAAATGAGCTAAAATATTCACTCGAATCCCCCCCCCCGCCCCCGGCACAACTGATTGCTGCGTCGGCCTGTGTCAGCAACGTCACTCTCAATCGTGACAATTTGTAGACGCGATAAACAGCTGGACGTGGGAAAAACTCGCGACGATCTGGCCGATGTCGGCCGCGGAGGCCGCGATAAGAGTCGAAATCGGACAAAGTACCGGTGAGGAGAGAGCGTCACAGAAGGGCGGACGCCGAAATTGAAATAAAATAGCTCGCGGCGACAGAGGACGGCGAGAGAGCGAGAGCGGAGTCGTTTGGTTTAACGATTTTTTTTCCGGATCCGCCCGTAAAAGAGGGGCTTCGGCCAAATAGATAGCCGATAATAAATCGCGCTAGGATCGCGCGCTCGCTCGCGCGCTCGCTCGTCCCCCCGTGGTACCGTGGGGTTTAACGAGCGGAAGCAGGAGAGGGGTAGGGGGAAGGGGGTCGAGGGAGATTACCGGCAGGCGCGACAAACCTGATAAATTCGACGGTACGCAGGAAGAGTTCCTTTGTGTCCAGCAGCTCGGCGTCGTCCCACGGTACGTTCTCGTTGATGTGCGCCTCCGCCAGATCGCAGTTGCTCTGGATATTCGCGATTTCCAGTTCGAGATTCTCTTTGAGCTGAATCAGGCCTCTGAGCTCGGCGCCGAGGTATCGATCGACCTCGTTACGCAGATGTTCCGTGCGGTCTTTCAAAGCCTTGCTCAGCCTCCGATAAATCTCGTCCACCTCTTCGGCGACCGAGGCGCAGTTTGTTTGCAGACCCAGCGTGTTTTTCTCCACCAGGGCCAACGCGTCCTGCAGCCTGTGCAGACCCCGGCGCACCTGAAGGCAGAATCATCGGCCGGCCGACCGACCGGCGCGGCGGTTTGACATGCCGGAAAAGCTATACCTCTTAAGCTTAATTCCTCGCTGCCGGTTTATCTACCACTCTCTCTCTCTCTCTCTCTCTCTCTCTCCCTTGCTCTTTCACTTTCTGCCGCGCTTTCTTTGTCAATGGTATCCTATCATTCGTATAAACGGCGAGTAAACGAGAATGGGCAGCGACGGAGAAATTAATACCGAATTAATGCCCGGATAGATTCAACGTTCCCATGAGAAAATCAATCCGAGGACGACGGCTCTTACTTTTGCCTTTGACCTTTTTCTCTTCTTTTAATTTCAGCCTATTTAATCCCTCATTTAATCTCTCATTCTCCGTCAAATTCAACGCCCGAGAAATCTCGAAGGAGAAACGTGCGGAAAAATGCGTATTGCTAAACGCGTCGTGCTAAACGTGTCGTGGAGATACAAGATATCCTTCAAACAGGATGCAGGATGTCAATCGACCATGGTCATACAACACCTCGGGCGAGTTGAGTCCCGAGCCAACCCCCGAGCCAGGATGATTTCTTCGGCCCTCGCTTTATTTTCGCGCACGATCACGGCGGCTACGTTCGCGATAGAGATCGAAATTTCTCGCTCTAGTCGCACCGACGACGACGGGCGAACGCAGCGGCGACTATATTTAGACCGCATTATAGTTGTGCCGTGACTGGACCGCCCCAGATATAGAGGCCTCAATGAACACAAGAGGCGGGAAGCCTAAAGCTAGAAGCAATAAACGCGCGGAAACGGACACATGAATATCACATAGGAGCGGGCTCCGAGATTCGCGGGGCCCCTGCGCGCGAATGTGCCGCGCCGTTGCTTGAGAGGGCGTCAAATTTTCATGGACCTATTCATAAGTCAGCTGTTAATCAGGCCGGCTGTAAGCGTACGGATCGCTCCCCTCCCCGTTAACTCCCGTGCGTTAATTGGGGCTCTATCTGCCCGACGAGTGGGACTTTAAGCCGGACGAGACGCGGCGAAGTTGTCGGCGCCGACGAGCGAGTTGAAGAGGCGCGGAGAAACGCGCGTCGAGTGTTTCGCGACGTTTCGCGATTGTCCGGCGAGTGTCGACGGGACAGCTCGTCCGTCCGCGAATTAATTCACCATGTAACCTGAAATCGACGCGCCGACGCGATTTTACACTCCAGCTAATTTCGCAAATTCCGTTGACATTCACACACACACACACACACACATATACACACACGCGCGCGCGTTCGCGGGAGTCATGCGCGCAAAATTGTGATTCGCGGCAGCGGTATCTCGCGGGAGATCGGCAATTTCCTCTCTCCCCCTTTCTCTGCCTGAATCGCCGCGAGAGATGAAAATGGGGACCACGTACGTGGGTTTCTATAATATTTGTTAACGTAACACGTTTAAGGCGTAAACAATATTTGCTCTGTATACAGCGACGGCCCATCTAAATTCATAGAGGACATCCTGAAAGTACACAATCAATATCGCGCCATTCACAGCTCGCCGCCGTTGCGAATAGACGAGAAGGTAAGGGATCCTCTCGCCTCTCTCTCTCTCTCTCTCTCTCTCTCTGCCTCCCTCTCACACTTCCTCTCATCCCCGTCGCGAATTGCTCGTCCGAGGAATTCCTATAGAGTCCTCGAGGGAGGAAGCGGTCAGAAATTGCCATTGTCGCGAGGATCCAGGCCGCGCAGGGTGTGCGATTGATCGCGCCCGTGCGATTTATCGCGCTCGTACAACGGCGATATTATTATATTCCGAATATAACGCAGCACGTACGCGCTCGAAAATTGCAGTTGAACGAGCGCGCTCGGCAGCTGGCGAGGAGCTTAGCGAGGGATGCGGAAGCGCTGCGGGAAACTGTGCCGTACGGCGAAAATGTGTACGTCGGCGCCGGATATCCGGATTGGAAAACGCGGCCCGAGGAACCGGTGCAGCTCTGGTCAGAATCCCGCCAATTCTCCGAATAAAATAATTGTCCAATTTGCGCGCGCGCGAGTTACCGATTTCCCACCAGCCGGCTTCCAAAAATCAACGCTCGTCGTGTGACACGCGGAGAGACGTGACTTCGTCCATCGACCGATGACCGATTCGCTCTCTTCTTCTGGCATTGTAGGTACCAAGAGAGCAGCAATTACGACTACGAAGCGTCGCGACCGGCCAACTTGGCGGACGTGCGCAACTTCACCCAACTGGTGTGGAAGGACTCGAGATTGATCGGCGTCGGCGTGATCACCGGGCCGGAGTGCAAGGTTTATCTCGTGTGCAGCTACGAGCCGAGTGGAAATGTCGACGGCGAGTTCCGACGTAACGTGGCGCCGCCGAAGGAAGTAAGGATCAACGGGGGATTTGGACGGTAGCCTAGCTTGGGTCTCCTCGGGTCGCGTCTCGAAGGGCCGCGAGAGAATTGCTCTTTTTTTCCCCTGTCTTTTCCGCCATACGTTTCCGCTCGAGTCGAACGATGTAGCGGAAAAGGACACGAAAGGCCGAGCTGTCGTCCCGTCTAGGATTCGAGAGCGGCGCGAAGGGACTGGAAAATTGAACTTTCGTGTCGCGCGTTCATTTTTTCCACTTGGGCGAAATCGTATTTCCCACGCGGAGTTTCAGCCGTCGAGTCGAGCTAAACACCGCGACCCCCACGTGGCGGAATTTTACGGCCCGCCCGTCGAGTTTGTCTCGCGGCGACGAAATCGATTAAATCGCGAACGATTAAAATAAACAAATCAGATTTTTCGCGTTGGGAGATTGTCGCTCGCTATCGCGCGCGCGCGCGCGCGCACCTGCACGTACGCACGCCCGCGGGAATATTTGTCGCTTCCTCGCACAATAGTAATCAATGAAATTTTCCGGAGTGTAGAATAGAAATTGTATTAATGGCTTAAATCGCGAATGAGAGAGAGAGAGAGAGAGAGAGAGAGAGAGGGAGGAGGGAGGGAGGAGGAGAATACGCGCGGCGGCTCTGAAAGAAAAATTATTTCACACGAGAAATATACTTTTCGCCACACTCTCCTCTCTTGCCCGCCAACCTTCGCCGTGTCCGACACGGGAAAATAAAATATCCGCTAATATCCGTTTTCGACGTATTGAACGTAAACAGAATTTTGCAAAGTGTTGTTGTACCGTAAAAAGAACATTGCGCGCGCGAGTCTTTTTCGCAAATTGATTATAAATCAGGTACCATTAAAATAAATAAACCAAGCTCTTTAGGAGAGGATTATTTTGCATGTTGTTTCGCGGAATAAATGGTACAGTTTTATTTCCTTTTTTCCCCTCTTCCTCTCCCTATTTTGTGTGTTTTTTTTTCTTTTTTATTTCGTCGTACGAACGTGTGTTCAGAGATAATCGTTGTTTCATCACTTTTCCGAGCGTGAAACATCCATAGACACACGCGCACGCACACGCGCGCAATTCGTGTTATTATGCGCGCAACATCCGTTATAATTAAAGGCAATTAAAATTCATTAAAACTGACCACTTTGAAGCGCCGCTGGAAAGGACGCTCATTTCGCAGCTACGAATATCCGAAAGTGCGATCGCGTGCTCACGCACGTTAATGAGATCCGAACGCGTATCATAAGAGTGTAACGCTAAACCGAAAGCCCTTTTGCGACACGCGGCGAAAGTCGAGCTTGTTAACTAATTAATTGGGAGCGGAGAAATTGCTCGTTCGCGTGGAATTATCTGTCGCCTTCAGGAGGATCCGCGCGGCACTGGGATTTGCTCATTAATTAATTAAATCAGATGGAAAATATACAAAACGCAAGAGCAGGGACACGCGCCGCGGTGCGAGCGCGAGTTGTACGTACGTGCAAAAGAAAGAAAAAAATATACAAATCTCGTAACTTATATTCCTTTTGTGCAGTCAGCAAATTAATGGAGCGTAGTAATTAATCCGAGAGAGCGGAAAACTCATCCGCCGCAGGTTGAACTTGTGTAACTCGCGTCTTTTTCCCGCGCGTTCTGCCGTTCCGTGCGTCGGAATTTTAATGGACTCACAACCCCGCATCTTCCTTGTTAAATTCGACGTCGAGCATTTTCTCGCGGCAGCGTTCGACATGAAAATTTTGCTCGCCGTAAAGGCGCGCTTGATACAATTTTACTTTCGTTCGATGAAATTGGCCTGAATATCTTTGAAATTTGCCCCGCCGCAATTTCAAGGACCGACGCGCTTCGAAGTCACGCGCTTTTTTCACAGCGTGCGAACGGCAACGTACGTGTGCGCGAGTTTTATTGTTATTTTTCCCACTTTATCAAGAGCGATGCGCGCTGCCGAATCACCGACAGAAGCGAAATGAAATACGAACGGCGATCAGCGTCGATTTCCCAACGTCGGACAAAGCTGGCAAAAGCCAGCATATTTCAAGCACGCAATTTCCGCGCCGCGCGAGAGAAGCGAAGGCGTACTCGACGAGTCGCGTCGGGCAACTTCGATCGCGCCGAATATCTAGCTTGTCGACGCGCGATCTCGCGATCTCCGCCTCTGGATTCTGTCTCAACGATGATCGTGCGTCCGAAGTTTATCCCGCCGCTGGAAATAAACGTGATTCATCGCGCCGCTGCCGGAGACAGACGGCGCGCACGATTCGCATGATCGCCGAACGTCATCCTCTGCCGTCAAATCGGCCGTGCTATTTGTACCGTTGCGCGGAAGTCGTTTGATCGCGCGTCGGAATCTTAACGTCGTGTACTCGAGCAGCTTCCTCGTCATCTTACACTAGGAAAAATGTATCGCTGCGTGAACCAAAATTTTGTCGTAACAACAAAATAATTTGGTTATAATATGCCCGACAAAACTGTTTAATTCCTGTAAACAAATATCTCGTTTGATTACGGTTTGTTCGTATAACATAATACTTTTGTTATAGCAACCAAAAAGCTTCAACTATATTCAACTATTTTGTTAAAAATACTATAATTTTTTCTTAATATATAAAGTCTAAATTTTAGTGCACAGAAAGGCAAAATAGTATCCATTGGGCATTATTTTAGTTGACGTAAAATAATATTTCGTTATTATGTAATTCTTATGGATAAAATAACTAAAATGCTTAATTTTTACATATAAAGTCCAAGAACAAAATCATTTGGTCCAGAGAACAAAGCAGAAAAATATATATTTAGTTGAGACAACTAAATATTCTGTTGTATAAAACAAGATATTTGGTTGCTATTGAAAAGTGCCTCAACTAAACAGTTTTGGTTAGAGATACTAAATTTTTTTTCCTAGTGTAACCGTTGCTTCCCGCGACTTCGGCCAAATCGAAGTCACACGGCGACTCTCGGATCTCGCTGCGAGATCTTTGCGCGATCCTTCGTGAGTTATCGCGTAATCGACTCTGCGGAGACGCTGCTCTGAGACGCAAATCGTCCGTTATCGCGACAGATCCCTCTGCACGTTCCCGCGACCCGCGGCGGATCGCCGCGAGGTGGCGAGGGAGAGCGGATTTTTCATATCCGCAGAAATCGGGTCTTTTATCTAATTCGCTCGCTTATTTTACGATCGATAAGCGTCTTATTTGCGCAAAGGGGCGCTGTCGTTCCGGCGGGGAAGGGCGCTCGACTATAACGCCTGCATATTGCACGACTGTGCGCGGGATATAATAACGAGAGAAACCCGCGTCGCAATCTTGTTTTCAACTTACGTGTGTACGTTACGCGCAGCGGTTAATTACAATGCGCAAAATTGCGCAGCGATAAATTTTCCGTTAGGACGCCGAGAGGCACAACGTAACGAATTTAAAGAGCATGGCTTGATACCGGATACCGCGTAACACAACAGTTCCCGCCTTCCTAAACGCGGTTATAACGTCTACCGAGACGAGGCAAAGAGAAAATTAATTATGTAATTGGCTAAATTAGTTTCCGCGATCGGTATGAGCCACGTTGCACGCGCTGCATGCTTGCTCCCCTCCCCCCTCCCCCTCGTTCGAATATAGAAGGTAAGAAAAGTTGATCGATGTCTGCAATTACTCACGAGAAGATAACTACGATAATAAGGGGAGATTCTACAAGACGCCCCGTTTTATTCCGCACGGTCGCTTCATTACGCAGGGTTTCACATCGAGTAGCGTCGACGCGCAATACGGTCAGCTGTAAATGATTGATGAATCTCGCTCGTGCGTCCGTCGCGACACGACGAGGAACTCTTTAATCAGAAACCTTCGGTTCTTCTCTCGAGCTTGGATCTCTGGAAGTGCTCTTCTTGCCGATTTTGATGATGTATAGCAGAAAAGGCAAAAAATAAAGTACACTTTTCTTATAAGTCTTCCACTCACGGCTGAGGATTCAAACTTCTTGAAACTTGGCCTCGTATATTTTAAAAATCTTTGGGACCATAAAACATATGAGATGTTCTAAAGAAAAATTTTCTAGTACCCGGCGTACTTTCTAAAGAAAAATTTTGTAGTATCTGATGTTTATATACAACTATATACGTAATTACTTTTAAAAATTTCATATTGTTCAATACATTGTCACCTATCATTCATCATATTTGGGCAAGTTCCGAATTTTTTTGTAAAATCTGGAATTATAAAGATAATCTCTGATGCTGATACAAATCTGATTATGAGTACAAAATAATTTTCCAAAGTCGCATTCTTGAGATATGGGGAAACATCGCGCGTCATAAGTAGATGCAGACGCACCGCGTGGCAAACGCGGCCGCGCCTAACCGAACGCGAATCTAACTACTTATGGTTGATCACGAGTTGATTTCTTTGAGACCATGAGATGTATAAAAAAAAGTTTCATACAAAAGTTGCTTGAATATTTGCGGTGCTTCATAACTGTGCATTTATATTTCAAAAATTCTTGTATTTTTCAACACGTCCTCACTCCTCATTATTATTTTTGCAAAAAAAAAAAAAAAAGATAAAATTTTTTTAAAGACCACAATTGAAGAGAATTTCACGCCAAATTCATTCACGATGTGATACAACTATTCTCTCAAGTCGCGTTCTCAAGATACACGCAGATGATACACCACGCTTTAAGTAGGTACAGACACGTCGCGTCGGACGCGTCGTAAAGTATCGCCAAGTCCGCGAGTTAGCTCCGGGGGATTGCTCCAACGCCTAAACGCGCGAAGAAGCGCTCGTGAAAGAAAATACGGCTTTTACTTTTGGCTTCTCCGCACCATATCCAAGCCTCATCAAAATCAGCGAAAAAGAAGCACTTCCGGAACCCTCCCTCGTCAGTATTTCCTTATCATTCTCCACTTTCTCGATTCCCCTTTTTACCCGTAAATCGTGATTCAGCTTATTTCGCCGCTGTCACCGATCTCCCCGAGCTTGCCGCGCGCTTTGCCGGGATTCCGTTCGTGGCAAATATTTATAAAAAAAAACTTTACTATTGCGGGCGAAAAGGGGTGAATTTAGGGGCCTACACGCGGGTATATACGCAAACACCTTCGGCAGATCTGCGGTGCGCTTCGACCGACTCTCGTTCGTCGCACTCGTCGTGTACCTGGGAATTGATGCGCGTGATCTCGCGCCTCAGGATGTCCATGTGCGCGTCCTTGCACTCGGGGCAGCACTTCTTCTCGCAGTGCACGCACAGGGCGCAGTAACTCTTCTCGGAGCAGACGCCGCAGCGCTCCATCGTCTGGCCGCTGGTCGGGTCCGGCAGCTCGCCCGTGATCTCGATGTGCAGCTCCAGGAAACGTTGCAGAGTCACGTTGGTCGGGAAGGCCTGCACGCCCTGCGAACAGCAGCAGCAGCGGCGGGAAGCATGACAGCGCGGCTGGCGCTCGCGCCGTCATTATTAATGAACCGGAATGGGCAGCGCGATGCCCCTATTGAGTAACGGCGCGGACTAATTACACCGGTGGTGTCGAGCGCGGGTTTCTGCCTCGCTATCAGTCCTCGGGAATTCCAGTCCGCCGATGAGAAGTGTCGCAGCGAGTCGATCGGCTCTCGCTATCGGCGAGGCGCGTGGCGTGCTTTTCCCGGTTTGGTGGTGGCCGGCGATTCCCTCGGAAAATGTGTGGCCCGGCGGCGGGCGATCCGCCGCGCGACATAAACAACGCGCGTGAGCGAAAACATTCGGCGCGGCCGAGCGACCGCATAACCGCGTTTGATTATTCCGAAAAAAAAAAAAACAGACCGCGGGCGCGCGCAAACGCGACCGGCCCGGAAGACGACATTAGCTGGAAACGCGCGCGAGTATACTCGCCGCCTAATGAGAGTCCTCCCGCGTTGTTGGATTCATCGTTGAATAAAGATGAGCTTGCACACACAGCGGCGCGTCGCATTGTGCGGCGGAGAAGGAGAAAAAGAGTGAAGAGAGAGAGAGAGAGAGAGAGAGAGAGAGAGAGAGAGAGAGAGAGAGAGAGAGAGAGTAGAGAGAGAGAGAGAGAGAGAGAGTAGAGAACGTTTTCGATTCGCGTAGCGGAAGATAGATCGATCTTTCCTACGTCTCTCTCTCTCTCTCTCTTTCTCTCTCTCTCTCTCTCTCTCTCTCTCTCTCTCTCCCTCTCCCTCTCTCTCCTTCCGCCTACGTGTCTATATTTGTCTATCTTTCTCTCTCCTCCTTTCCCTCTTTCTCTCTCCCTCCCTGCCTCTAGCTGGTTCGCGTTATTACACGAGCCGCGCTCGCATTACCGCGACCTTATTAAAGGTATAAACGCGAAGAGGCGTACGACGCACGACGATCCTTGGACGAGCGAGCCGCGGCAGCTTGCGCAAATGTGTCCCCGTATAGATTTTGCGCGATCGCGAAATATTGTTTTTCAGAGAGCCCGCGTAATTCGTTCGGGCGTATATAGTTAACCGGCTCTCAGCGAGAACGCGATACTGGAACAATATTCTGAGAGACCGCTCTTCCGATCATTTCCCGACGAAAACAGAACGCGTTTATTTCGTCCCGTGTTATTATATCGCGAGCGGAGGTAACGCGATTAAACAATAAAATCCCGGGAGATTACTCCCACTCGTTCCTCGACCGGCAAGCACGTTATTTTTCAGTACTGTTGCGTCGCTGCGAGAGGAGAGGTAACGCGATTAAACAATATTTCGGAAGATTACTCTCCCGATCATTTTTCGACGGGCAAAAATACGGTATTTTCATTTCGCACTGTTGCATCGCCACGAGGGGGAAGGCAACGGCATTAAACAGCACTCCGACGCAGATTATTCGTTCGATGATTTTCGTTCGATGGAACAAACATACGTTATTTCCTCGGTCGTTATAACGCGATTAGTTGCGACGCGAGAGCGCACGTAAAAGCGTCCATCGCGACTTACTTGGTACGGTATACGATGTTCGGCGCGGCATTCCGGACACTTGACCTGTCGACGGACGTAATCGACCAGGCCGTCCATGCACGGCTCCATGCAGAAGCTGTGCTGGCATGGCAAGAGCTTCGGATTTCTGTACCGATCCAGGCAGATCGCGCAGGTTAGCAGCTGCTCGAACTGCTCCATGCCTGTAACCGAGAAAGAACCTGCTCTCAGCAATTGTCTCCGCTTTCCGCCGCGCATATCTCGCGAAATGCTCGCGAAATGCTCGCGAAAAGCCAGGTATCGTGTAGAGCATCGGGGCACGCGTCCGTCGTAGACGGAGCCGCGCATTTAGCTGCGTCAGCGTCTCAAAAAAGCGCCCTTTCGCCGCGTCGAGCAATGCAACGTTCCGTTACGACATAGATCCGACGACGAGGCGTTCGTTCTCTCTTTCGGGGCGATACTGCGGGGAGTACATACCGTAAATATCGCCAGGTCCTCTTTCCGCTCCTTTACGTACGTCCCAGGCGATATTAAAAATATATTCCCAAACGTAATTCTTAAACTGTGCTGCCTGCCCGCGCTCGGGAACGAGCGCTTTATAAATACACTTTTCGTTCTCGTCGACGGACGCCATCTCGTCGGGCAGCCGAGGAAATTATTCCTGAGACGCTACGTTTCGTTTCTCCGGATAGGATGTTGCGACTCGTCATTTTCATACTTTGTCACGTTTAATAAATAGATTACGCGGATATAAAGCGCGCTCTCGGCGATAGTCTGGCCGTACTTTCGCGTTCGGATGCCAAAGTCTTATTCACTCGGCCGCAAGTGCTGATCGAGAGGACGGCGATTGTCGGTTCCCTCGTGCCGGTCATATGATCGGGTCGACATCCATTTGTTTCTACATTCATAGCAATTCTCCGGGCGGAGAACCTCTCTCTCTCTCTCTCTCTCGCTCGCGCACGCGCGTCAAAATACCAACGAGAACAACGAGAATTACCAACAATACATCAATGCACGCACGCGCACATATGTATATATATAATACATGTAACGCTTTTAATCCATTTTAAATGTCGCTGATTGAATTATTTTATTAATAACGCGGATGCGTTAATTTGCATAGCGCGCGTATATATTTCGCCTATAAAATGATTAATTCGTTATATCGTTAATTAGCGCGATCGCTCGCTCAGTAATTAAATCGCAGTGAAATCCAGCCTCGATTTTTACAGCCAAACAAACCGTACCCTCCTTCCTCTCTCTTTACCCCCCCGCCCCAACGCGCCCACTCGCGTTCGCCACCGCCGCCGCTCGCTGCTTCTTTTCTTTTTCCCTTTTTCCACGACGGACGCGGTAAACGCGTCGTTCCGCGGGCTGCCAAGACAATGTCAAGATCTCCGGTGGAGTCGTTGCACCTCTATTTTAAGGCGCGATGCATCATCCGTGTAAATTTGGTGGTAAGGAGACGACGGGTGAACTCAGGGGGCAAACCCTGCGTGAACACCTCGCGCTTCGTAAATTAGACGGAATTATAACTCTTCCTTCTTTTCTTCTTCCCCACCCCACGGAGAGGGCTCCGCTTGTCGCTCGCCGAGACGAGGCGCGGCACCGATCGAACTTTCCAGGCGGTTTCATTTCGCGGGCTTTGTGCCGAATTATAAATTTGCGATCGATACTTCCTTGGCGTCGAGCTCGCAAAGCCCGCGATATTTCAACGAGCGAGTCTCCCACGACGGCGGGAGATAAAAAGCGCGCAGCTTTATTTATTATTTCACTCATCGAGGGGATTTCCCCTTTGTTTTAAACAACCGGATATAAAGCGCGATTATACTAATGGTATCGCGGCGAACTCGAATTCCCGCGCATGCGCGCACGCGCGCGCGCCGTGAAAATTCACCGTGACGACAAACGCGCTCGGCGCGCTAACTAATTGCCGAAATTTATCTACGGTGGGAATAGTTCGGCGCGGGCCAACCGGGCGAGCCATGGCGCTTAATAGTATTAGATCGTGATGTATTACAGGGCGGACTACACGTCCAAATCGGAACGAGGAGTATTATAGTTCGAAAGCCGCGGCAGCCGTAATAATTATTTGAACGTCGCTAATGAGCGGATAATTACCCATGCGATACACGAATTAATTATCGCTCTTGCACGGGATGTATAATAGTAGCAGCGGCAGTGAAATGATGATGGCAGTCGTACTAGTGGTGGTAGTAGTACGGGCAGTAATAATAGCAGCAGGTGAGGTAATCTCGATTAACGGGCCGCGAATGTTTTATTTAGCATTATTATATGTATGTGGAGCAAAAATTGGGCGATACATCGGTATTCGTATTCGTATTCACGTATTCGTATTGCAGTTCCACGCTGAAGGATCGATTCGCATCTGGATTAATCAAAACTCCTTTCTACAGCCTGTCGACCGTGCGAGCCGTACAAACAGCTCAACAAGAATGCAAAATTTCGCGTTGGCCGCTTTAAAGCCGCTTTAAATTATTTCTGATATTTGGCTATTGCATATATTTTTAGTTATCGCAAATTTGTTAAGTGCGTTTATTGAATTCACTTAATCGACTTATGCGCAAACGCGCTTATTTGTCGCGTGGAATTTGCAAATCGCATGTGTTTAAGCCGCTCAGTTTAACAGCCACAGCGAGAGACAAAGAGAGAGAGAAAGAAAGAGAGAGTGGGGAGGGAGAGAGAGAGAGAGAGAGAGAGAGAGAGAGAGAGAGAGAGAGAGAGAGAGAGGAGAGCTTTACGAGACCGAGAAGGCGTCAGGAATCTAGAAATTCTATAAAAACTCGCACAGAGTTCTCTACATCATTTCTTTCCCCGGCACGGAGGTGTTCGATCAATGTCGGGTCTAATTCCGCGGACTTATTTCAGGTCTGGCCTCGTAAAGCGTCCAGCGACCGTTTGTCGCCCCAACGACGGCCGCCGACGCAAACGTTCGTCGTCCGTCAGCGAGCTGATATCCGGGTCCGGGCTAATAAAAGTTGCGGACCTTCATTAATATTTTGGGACGTCTTTACGCGAGCGAAAGATTCCGAGCTCCCCGAAATTCCAAACGGCGCAATACCGGCCGGCCGTTCTACGATATTTATGGCCGCGTGATTCCGCTAAGAGTTGTCATTTTTATTTCTTCTTTTTTTTTTTGTACGATAAATCTTGAACACACGTCCAGCTAGGCACCGGATACACGTTTCACAGCCGCGTGTCTGACGAAGCCAACACTTGGACGATATCTCACAGACTCGCCCACGTATTGTACGACAAGGTTGCATAATCCGAGACTGAACAAATCCGGATGAATAGCGGTTAAGAGGAGAAAAAAAGACACTCGGGGAAGATCGCAACGGCACTAAATCGCGACCGACGGAACGATCACGACGCGGAGGCTCGCGGAGAGCACGCCTCGGGCCGAGCACGCCAAGTTCCGACGGATAAATTTAAATAACGCTGATCGCAGCCGCGTAAATACACGCGCACATACGCACGCTCGAGTATTCACGCGCGAGCGCGAGCGAGCACGAGGAGAAGCGTTCGATGAGATTGTTCGGCGGATAGATACGCGTAGCCAGAAGTCGAGCCAAATTCGTTTTGGCTTTCGCAAGTTTCTCCGGCGCACGTCGCTGACGTCGAAGGTCGCCGCCGCCGCGAGGACCGATCGCGCTTCTGAGCCGACACAATGGCGGGAGCTAGTGCATTAGGAAGCATTGTTACCGTTGGACGAACCACTTGTTGGATCTTAAAGCGAAGTCTCCCTACAGCCGTTCCTCCCCTTTTCTACCTCTCTGCCTACCTCTCTCGTTCTCTCCATTTCTGCCTCTTCCTCCCTCTCGTAGCTCTCTCTCTCTCTCTCTCTCTCTCTCTCTCTCTCTCTGTATGTGTCGACAGTGCAACAGGCAGCGAGCAGCGATTGTATTAACAACTTTCATGGGCGTTGCCGCGAGGATGAAACGGGATGCTAATTCTGACACTTTGACTGTGTGAGCCTCGAAACTTCAGCGAGCCCGCCGGGCGAGAAAGCGACGGAGAAGAGAGAAACAGAGAGAGAGAGAGAGAGAGAGAGAGAGAGAGAGAGAGAGAGAGAGGAGAGGAGAGGAAAGAGAGAGACTGCTGCTTCCATTATTTCAGTCCCCGTGCCGCCAGCTCGTTTTAATTGCGCGATCATATTTCTCGCACGGAATCAACGAGGCTTTTCTGGTCTTGTGCGAAAGAATTCACGGCGGCTCTCGGTGGCGCGCGGCAATCCTTAAAGAGAGCAAGGGAGGAGTATCGTGAATAATATCGACGATCCCGCCACGTGGAGACATTCTCTTGTAATGACAACGACGACGCATCCCCTCAGCCGCGACGATGTCATTAGCGTTCTTTCGGCCCTTAAAACGCGCGGCGCGCACCACTTGCGGTCGCGCCGTCGAAAAATCGAAGAAGTAATTACGTGGGCGCAGGTGCCCTTCGTCATGTTCCGCCGTTTGCGCCGTTGCTAATATCAACACCGAGCGACAAATAATGAGACAAGCAGACGTCCGCGCAGTGTCGAGCGCGCGATGAAAATGCGCAAGAAACTCCCGCACGAATTCCGCAAGAAGCCACGATAGAGAGGCGCTTCGGGAGAGGCGCACAGAGAGAGAGAGAGAGAGAGAGAGAGAGAGAGAGAGAGAGAGAGAGAGAGAGAGAGAGAGAGAGAGAGAGAGAGAGAGAGAAAGAGAGAGAGAGAGAGAGAGAGGTGGCGGCTATTGGATTCTTCTATCGCGCGGATATTAGATTTCGCAGGCGGCTTTTTGCCGGCGCGCACTTAAAGCGGACCGCAAAGCGCGACGCGTAATGCTCGGGCTTGGAATTTCCGAGTGTCATGCGTTCGCGAAAACGCGGCCGCACGTGGCGCGTCATTATTTTCGCGGCGCGAAATAAACAGCTTCGCCGAATGATTCAGCTGTTTCCTTTGTGCCGCGACGGCTGCGCGCGCGCTCGCGTTCGCGGCGAAATTTGCGCTTGCCATTTGGAAAAGGAGAGCGCGTTGCGGTGCTACAATTCTCCGAGTCTTTTCTTGCCCGATACTTGCCGCGCGAGAGAGACACACAGACACTCTCGCCGTGAAAATCTAAATTTGTCATCTATTACCGTCTGAAAGATCCGCGGAACAGCGGTGACGGCTCGCCGCGCTCTCTCGCGCTCTCGTCGCTTTATTCGATTCCGCCGCCGCCCCTCGTACAACTCGCGCGGTTCTTTTTTTTTCTTTTTACTCACTCGGACGAGTTATCTCGCGTTCGTTGGAATCTCGGGAAATTAATAACAGCGATCGCGCGGTGAGCGGACCGCACTCCGTGCGATTGGAAATCTTTATTGGATTGTGGGCTTTTATTATCCACGGTAATCCCACGGTTATTGAAAAGTCACATATTTACACAACTGGAATGGTCTCTGCCGATTTCTGTCACGCGTTGGCGACGTCATTTAGCGCGGGATGTCGGCTAATAATCAGGCTGGATTTGACAATCGAGACGGCTCTCGCGTAAGACGGGGGATCCCGGCGCGCGCGTAAATTGTCGCGCAAGTCTACGAACTTGAATTATCACACGGTCGGGCCCTAAATTCGGTGACCTAATGGCCGCTCTAGATCGTGAGTGATCGCGGGAACCTCGCCGCGCACCTGCGTCTAATCAACGAATCCTAAATCGCTCATAGAGCGGGACGGGCACCGCCGAATAATTTCCCCGACCGCGGAGTGTAATTTGTGTAGCGGCTATAATGTCGCGTAACATCTCGTGCACCTCGCTCGCTGATGCAAACGAACGGGATAAATCTCCCTAATTTCATTCACAGAGCCAGACAGCGCGTCATTAAGGACGCGCGCGTCTCCGCATTCCGCCGTCGAAATACGACAGGAAAACGGGGGGAGGAGAGAGACTACGTACCCCATTGAAATGTGCTTCAAAGTAACCCGAGTTGGGCGCACTCTCGAGCTCACCGAGAGATACCTTTGTTCCCCGACTCGAGGATGACAGTACCGTCTCTCTCTTTCTCTCTCTCTCTCTTTCTTTCTTTTTTTTTTTACGATTATTCGTCTTTTTCACGATCTATCTACGTTCGTTTGTTTTTACCAGCAAGAGGATCGATAAAGTTGCCGATTTTCCCAGCAATCTCCGCCGTCGTATTTTAACCTCGCGTAGGGTAATTTCATCGCTCGGAAGCTTAGAAGCGGGGGAGAATCTTTCTCGCTTCTAATTCCTCTCTTTCTCTCTCGTGCGACTCACGGGGAGAGTCTCTGTCGTTTTGTCTCTGAGCTTCTCGCGAGGAAAAAGAAAAAAATGTCGTATATAAAAAGACAGAAGTGGAAAAACACAGATGGATAGATAGATGGAGAGAGAGAGAGAGAGAGAGGGGGGAAGGCGAGTATAAAAAAAATAAATATAAAATTCAAATACCCGTTCGTGTACAAGTCCGTCGAAGCGCTCGTTATCCGAGATCGGATACACTTTCACGATGTGCGGAGGATGCTACGTCGAGACACCCTGTTGACGACCCGCGGTGGACTGATCGCGAGTTCGATCTGCGATCCCCGTTGCGCTGTTCAGGGGAGGGAGGGGTGTCCCGCTATCGATCCATCCGCGTGTCGCGTCGATGACACGCGCCGCCAGCAACAACAGGGACAATGGCAACAACAGCAATGACGATGACGACGACGACGACGACAATCACGGGACGTATTTTGGCACTTGTCGCGAACAAAAGACGCGCTTCCGGCGCGCACGAGGCTGCTGCGACGTTCGAGGGTCGCGCGCGGCGCGTCGTGGTCGGATCGTCGCGCTTTCTGGAATCGCTCGGTCCACACGGGATCCAGTACTGACACTTCTCCACTTGGACGTCAGACTCGCCAGACTCGCGTTCTCGTTCTCGCTCTAGCGCGCACGGCGCGCGAGAGCTATACTTAGCCTTAGGAGGACCTTCGATTTCCGGCGGCGGCTCGTTTTCGGCGAACAAGATCCGCGGCGGAAAACGCGGGGACTGACGCGCGAGCGAGTCGCCCTCGGGAAAATTTCGAGCGCGTCCTCGTCACGTCGGATGTCGGGTGTGTGTATGTGTGTGTGTGTGTGTGTGTGTGTGTGGAGCGTGTCCCGTGTTTCGCGCGGAATCGACGCGGACACGCCGACCGCGAGCCCCGAGTCCCGTTGTTTCTGAGTTTCGACAATTTGTCGACCGCCGTGCGATCACACCGGCGCTGACCAGCGCTGCAATATCACCGCGTCTAATTTATCTATAAAACGTATTTAACTGCTCATTGTTCGTAGAGATTTGATGACACGAGTTGTCAACAAAAATATGCATTTTCAGCGGGGCAGTCAGCATCGTCATACCGATCGAATATAACAATTTTGCTCTCTCTTTCTCTCTCTCTCTCTCTCTCTCTCTCTCTCTCTCGCACGCATGTCTGAGTCGTTACCAAATTCACCGATGATTCACCGGCACGTGGTGGACCGATCGCGAATCTGCAATCTGTGATTCTCAATACGTCGCGCGCCCCTCGCGAAGTCGTTTACCGTGTGATTGATTCATCGCGTTGCGGATATCGCGAGTCAGTTATGATAATTAGCCATCGCGTCGCACGATGTACGAAGGCTAAATGCACCTCGCCGAGAGAAATGACGACTCGTTGCCAAGCTGGCGAGAAAAGCTCGTTTCGGACGAGCTGTCCTGTCGGCGCTCGCGATCGCCGGGGCGGTATCGCGACGATCATCGTTGTGGAACGACGCTTATGATCCGCGTGTCGCGACGAGTACTCGAAGAAGAAATGAGGAAAAAGCCCGCTAAAGTAGCTCTCGCTCACTCGCTCGCTCACGCTCGAACAATTAGCGGCGCGATATTACTCTCCTCGGAGCGCGCGATAACGAATTCGATGGCCAATTTCCAATTATCCGTTTTGTAGAAACAGTACGTCATGATACGCTTATAACGAGGAGCATTTAATAATCGTTCCTGTTTAATGTCAGCATTAATATGCATTCCGTCGGAGCCGGATTGGCGGAAATTCCCGGGCCAGCTGCGATTGCCGCGGCCGAGCGATATTGCGCCAAATGGCGCAAGTGCGGACGCGCGGTTATTTTCTTATCAACGAGCGGAAGCGCCGCGCACAACCGAGCGCGAAATACGTAAGCCGCGCGCGTAGAAATCGCGTCGAGCCGCGACCGCGTAGAAAATAGACTTGTTTCCCCTCGGACTGCCTTCGGATCTCCTCCCGGCTGGCGCGGCGGTCCTTCCTCTCTCGCTTTTTCCTTTCCCTTCCCTTTCCTGCCACGAGGCCGACGTCGACGTCTAATTTGAATAATCGGCTGGCGGGTCTCGCGGGGAAAAAATCTCGATATAGGAAATTGGGCGAGCCGCGGTCGTTTTCCATTCGACCGCGCGGCGGATCGAGCGGAACCGCCGTGAGGCTCCATTGACAGGGAGCATTCAGCGACGAAACGTCATATCCGTCCTTTCGTCTCCGAATAAGACTCGGCCGAATGGCAGGAAAGTTCACGCGAGATTCAATTTGCGCGAACGAACTTGGTGCAACGAGTCTCGGAGGCATGCGCGACGGCCAACGGGATCGTCACGTTCGACCATTGACATGGTGGCAATTCAAAAACGCGACAGTCACTCTCTCTCTCTCTCTCTCGACTCGGTGAGGGAATTTCAACCTGATGAGGTGGAATGAAAATTACAAAAGACCCCGAGAATCGGCTGATCAAATTAGCGGATCCGAATGAAGAGAACGAGATCCAATCCGAACTAACCTGCCACAGTGAGCGAAGCAAACGCGTTTCACTCGGAAGCGGACAGAATCTCCGCTCCTTCCACGTCCGAATTTCATGCGCGAGAAGCAGAGATTCCGATTACCTCGGTCGGAAAATTGCAACATTACTTGCAATTCTCCGCTCCGCTCGCAGGGCGAGGTCGAGGAGGTCCGAATTCTCGCGATCGATTCGGAAAGTACCACCAAGTTCGACCGCGAGCGATCGTCACGACGGAGAAGCGAGCTCTCGCCTCGATCCCGATCGATTTCGGCGAGATCTCGGGCTCGGCGGCTCTCGCCGAGCAGCGCAATCTCGACCACCATCGCCATCACCGCCACCGTCAGCATCGGCACCGCGACCGCGTTCGCCGGCTATATTTAACCAGTGCGCGTTTTACCCGCAGCACGCGACGCGCTTATTTTCGATGCGATCTTAGAACTCGGCGGCCGCGACGCGACGGCTCGCGGTTTATCGACCAGAGCTTTTCTCACGCTGGCAAGACAGTTTTCTGCAAGCTCGGAATTATCCGGCCGGCTTACACGCGAGGCGCTCTCCTCGGCGCGAACAGCCGGTTCTCGAGGACTGCAATTTAACGAGTCGATAACTGCAATTTCGCCCGCCGGAAGGCAGCAGTTCTCTCTCTCTCTCTCTCTCTCTCTCTCTCTCTCTCTTCCCGCGGCCGCGACCGCGCCCGCCCCTGTCGCGTCTTTGACGTTCTAAAATTTTCCTCTCGCCTTGCCCCCCCCTTCCCCCCTCCCGCCGCTCACGCACGCTTGCGAGCCCCCCTTTGGCCCGTGTCCGCGCGGGAAAATAGAGTCTCCGATTGCTGTGTCTCGGTTTCTTGGCTACGCTCGGCACGGAATGCCGACGGACACTCGGCTCCTCGCGTACGTTTCGGCATTTCCACTCGGAACTGGGTTGCTTTAACGCCGCGACGTTACACAGAAGGCGGAGAGACGGACGGGGAATTTCTATTATTGGCATCGCGGACGCGTAAAATTTCACGCACGACCTCATTAAAGACCGCGTCTGCTGGGTGAATGGCGGAATTCTTTCTCGAGACACCGCCGCGTCGTCGGCGACAGTTACGACACTTCGGATTCGAAAGGGGCGAGAGTCATCGCTAGATCGGGGCCGGGTGGAGAGGAGGAGGAGGAGGTAAGGGTATAGACGTCACACGGCAAAGTGGGCGAAAATTTTTGTCCAGTTGGCAGGCTCGCGGACGACGCGCGAACGTAATAAAGTCGACGCGAGAGAGTCGGGGACGCGCTGATACGCAAAGTTGAGAATTCGCGTTCATCAAAAGAGATAAAGTCGGCGCGACGGATGAAGTCCGCGGCGATGGCGGAGGATGGGGGGATGGGGGTGGGGCCGTGGACTTTTTAACGCATTCCGGTTTCATATTCATCATGGATCTGTCCGCTCCGATCTTCCAAGTTTTTCTGGACCTTCCGCATTTAAACTCGCCCCCGGGCCGGGCGCGCGAGACCTGCTGTCGGCCAGGCACTCCCTGTAAATCTTCCTTCTTACCCGTCGTGACGCAATCGTGCGCTTCCGCGGGGAAGAAGCGCCCGGTTGAGATATTTATCACACGCGTTCACGCTCGGAGATTTCGCAAAATTGCAGCGACGCTCGTTCATCGCGAGGTTCGCTCTTCTTTCTTTTTTTTTCTTCGCCTCTTTTCTCTTCTCGGACAACCAGGATGTAGCGGCCCGGCGGTCTCGGATGAGCGAGCGCGCGCTCTATCGCGTCTGCGCCAGCCCGCAAAAATTCCCACTAGTTCGTGCTGCTTTTTAATTTGATCCTCGTAAAACGAGAAACCTCGCATACCTGTCCGAGAATGATCACGGACAAACGTACTCGGTGGATCGTCGTTTCATCGACGGCTTCTTCATCGTCCGATCATCCGGTTTCGGCTCGTCTCGTCTCGTCTCTGTCTCTCTTTGTCCCCTCTATCTTTCTCTCTCTCTCTCTCTCTCGCTCTTGGAGTTCTTAACTTTCTCATCAAGCTTCGATCTCGCACTAGCCGCTTCCTCGCCAATGACGCCAAGGTGTTCTTGCACCGTCGCACCTCCCCCTCGTCGTTTTATTTCCATGCGAAACTTTCGGTTTTTCTCCGCGAGTAAACTTGTTCGGTGCGCACCGATCCTAATTACCACGGTGATCCGTATTGTCTGGTTTTTCAGGGGTGCACAGTGCGCGCACCGTGTCGGTGGCGTCGAGCACTTCGAGTACTACTTGCTGTTTACCGCGGGCTCGTCCCCGATAATTAGATTCCCGCGAAACTTTCCGTCTAGATGCTCGACCCCTCCCCCTCGCGCTCCCAAGGCCCCTCCTACGAGAGCTCCCTTATTATCCGCCGTGGCGGAGTAGAGTTTTCGTCGCGAGTCATGCCATTACGGCGTAATCCGCAGAAGTTAACGTTTAATTAATAATTTATAACGTGAACTCCACAATGTGCGCGGATATTGCCATTCTGCGGCGGTTGGCGGAGCGAGCGGCTTGAAAAATACTAAAAAGCCACGCGGCTCCCCCAAAACTCTCCGGCTTGCGATACTCGACAAAAAAGTTCGCTAACTATGCTATTATGCGACTTATTCTGAGAACATGAGCGCAACACTCGAGAATAATCGGACATAATAAGCAAATGGCGGACGAGCGCGACGAGCGACGGGACACGATCGATGCACGAGACGCGCGAAATCGGATTTGCGAAAATTCAAAGACGCACGAAGGAACGCGACGAGACGTTCGTCCTGTATGAACACGCAGAGGGACGATGTGGATCATCGAGTGCCTCGCAAATGAAGACTCTTCAAGCGGCTATACGAAGCTCAACTTGCAGCGCTGCTCGCGCACTGAGAATTTCCAAGGCGTGTCAAAAGAATAAAACGCGCCCAGAGGCCGCCTGCTGCCTCTGGGGGGAGGGTAGGGGGCGAGCGAAAAAATCGTATCTCCAAGTTGCCGCGACGCGATGAGCGGCAGCTCTCTCACAATCAAGTGCCGTTTCCGCGGATGCGT